TGTTTTGTTTTTTGAGACAGAGTTCTCCGCTTTGTTGTCCGGCTGGAGGTGAGTGCCGTGGTGTCAGCTGCTCACAGCCAACTCAACACTCCCCTGGGCTCAAAGCGATCCCTCCTGCCTCAGCCTCCCCCCTAGTAGCTGGACTACAGGCATGGCGCACCGATGCCCCTAAATTTTTATATATATAATCAGTGGGCCCCCCAATAATCTCATTTTATATAGGTAGAACGGGGTCTCACCTATTTGCTCAGGCTTGGTTTTGAACCTCCGCTGAACCTTGAGCAATTTCCCCCGCCTCGCCTCCCAGAGAGCTAGGTACACCGCGTAGCCACCGAGCCCTGGCCCTATGTAAATGTTTTTAAAACAAAACAATATTAAATAAAGCATTCCAAGCAGAGGATACTTTCTCCGCCTATATCAGAAAGGAAGAATGCATTTTCCAAAATGCTAATCAAGGCTGGTGTGGAGCTCACGCTTGTAACTAGCAGCTACTGGATCCGAGCGGGCGGTGGCTGGCAGAGTTTCAAACCGCCCCTGAGCGGACCGCGCCCGTCTCTACCCATGAAAATAGAAAGAGAAATTGTAATTGGCCAACTAATATAATTATAAACAAGAAACAGCCGGGCCAATGGTGGGCCTCGTGCCTGTAGTCCCCAGCTACCTCCGGGAGCCGAGGGCCAGGAGGATTGCTGAGCCCCAGGAGTCGGAGGTTGCTGTGGGCGAGGCCCCTGACGCCCACGGCACTCCACTCTCTAACGACCTGGCAAGCAAAGGCGAACTCTGTTCCAAAAAAAAAAAAAAAAAAAAAAAACCAGCTGAGCAAGAAGGCGAGAAACCCTATCTCTACCTAAAAGAATAGAAATTAGTTGCAACTAGAAATATTAGAAGAAATTAAGCCTGGCATGGTGGTGGCATGCCTGAGTCCGCAAGCTACGCGAGCCTGGGCCAGAAGGATCGGCTGAGCCGTCAGGAAGTTTGAGGTTTGCGGTGAGTAGGCTGACAGCCCGCCCCCCCCCCCCCCCCCAAAGGCAACCACTCCCTGAGCCCTGGGGCAACAGCATGAGACGTCTCCAAAAAAAAAAAAAAAAATGCTAATCAAGATAGACTGGCACCCAGATTCACCCATTCCCAGTACCACTGGGAAATCTACCTGTAACTGAATTTTTGTTTTGCCTCCTCTGGTGGTGAAAGATTTCATTCATTTATTCAACAAAGATTTATTGAGTGACTACCATGAGCTGATCACCCTCGGACCTGATGATTTAACAGTGAATAAAAAAACCTCAAATTCCTGTCCTTAGGAAATTTATATTCTAGCGAGAAGACAGACAATTAACAAATAAAAAGCAAAATATATAGCTATGTCAGAAGGTATGTGATATAGAAAAAATAAAGCAGGAAAGGGAGGCAGGGAATGCCAACAGTAGAGGGTAAAGGGATTGCCATTTTAAACAAGGTGTTTATGGAAGCCCATTCCAAGAAGGTGAAGTCTGAGCAAAGGCCTGAAGGAGGCAGTACAAGCCACATGCATCTATGGAAAGAGCTTTTCAAGGAAGGGATAACTTTTCTTTTTTTATTGAGAAAGAGTCTCACTTTGTTGCCCAAGCTAGAGTGAGAGCCGTGGCATCAGCCTAGCTCACAGCAACCTCAAACTCCTGGGATCAAGAAATCCTGCTGCCTCAGCCTCCCTAGTAGCTGGGACTACAGGCATGCACCACCATGCCTGGCTAATTTTTTCTATATATATTAGTTGGCCAATTAATTTCTTTCTATTTATAGTAGAGACGGGATTTTGCTTTCGCTCAGGTTGGTTTCAAACTCCTGACCTCGAGCAATCCACCTGCCTTGGCCTCCCAGAGTGCTAGGATTACAGGTATGTACAGCCACCGTGCCCGGGCATAATTGTTACCTTAAATGAATATACGATATATTACATCAACTAGTCAACTGCAATTTTAACATAATTAGATAAAAATTATATTTAATATGGAATGTAGATGCTTCCCCCATAACCTGAGTTTTTAATTTGTCACTACAACAGATCACTGCCCCACAACTCAATACTGTTCAAAATATAATTTTAAATACCTGCATAGTATTTATTAGAGTTATCATACTTACATAACCACCATTCTTCAAATGTTGGACACCTTAGATGGTTTTCAATGATTTTCAACTAAACACTTTGCTATGTATTAATACATAAACATTTTTGAACTTTTTATTTTGAAATAATTACAGATTTGTAGGAAGTTGTGAAGAAATGTACCCTTCCCAATGTTAACATCTTAAACAACTATAGTACAATAGCAAAGCTAAGTTGACATTGGTACAACCCACAGAGCTCATTCAGATTTCATCAGTTATATACACACTAATTTGTGTGCGTGTACATGTACATCTTTGCAATTTTATCATGTGTAGCCTTGAAATAACTACGGCCTTAGTCAAGATACTAGATGCTTTTTTTTCTTTTTTTGAGAGTCTCGCTCTTGTCATCTGGCCTAGAGTGCAGTGGTGTCATCATAGCTCACTGCAATCTCAAACTCCTGGGCCCACTTGATCTTCCTGCCTCAGCACCCCAAGTAGCTGGGACTACAGGTGCATATCACCTTGTCTGGCTAATCTTTTCTATTTTTAGTAGAGACGGGGTCTCACTCTTGCTCAGGCTGGTCTTAAACTCCTGAACTCAAACAATCCTCCCACCTTGGCCTCCCAGAGTGCTAGGATTACAGGTGTGAGTGAGCCACCTCACCTGGCCTGGGGGACACTTATTAATAGATTTGACATGATGTGGGCTGGGGTCTAATAAAACAAATCTAAAAAAATAATGAAGATAAGGCTAGATTCCAAAGACATAGAGACCAACAGTAACATCAAACAGAAAAAAAATTTAAAAAGCTGATTCTTTAAAAAGATTAAGATAGACCTATGCTATGTGGGAGACTGAGGAAGGAGGATCGCTTGAGCCCAGCAGTCTGAAGCTGTAGTAAGCGATGATACCCCTGCACGCTAGCCTGGGCGACAGAGAAAGACCTTGTCTCAAAAAAAAAAAAAAAAAAAAAAATCCACCAGTACGTCATATAAAAATCAAGACAGGAAAATGTTTCTTTTCATGGTAATACTTTTAGTCCTTACAACTTCCCAGTGAAGATACAATTCCCCACGATAGCTAATGAAGCTTTCTATGTGGCAGGCCCTGTCCTAGGTATGTTATGCATAGTCACTTATTTAATTCTCAAAACGACCCTATGAGAAAGGTACTATCATCACCATTTGACTTCTGAGGAGCCGACGAGGCACAATGCGGTTAAGTGTCGCTTGGATAGCGGTGGGCCCCAGGATTTAAACCCTGATCTAACTGCAAAGGCCCTTTCCTTGCAACTGCTTTAAGTTTTAGTCAAAACGAGGTTTCCTGGAAAAACGAATAGCTACTTGTCCCGAGTCGGCTACAGGTTATCTGTGCTGGTAAACATCCCCTAACTTCTCTAAGCTCCGGATTCGACACCAGCGTCAGATCAGACTGCCACCCAGACCCGCCCCCGCCACTACACCACGCGCCTGCGCCACCGGCGGCTGCCGACGGGATCTCGCGGGGCTTGGACTTCGTGGGACAAACCTCATTACCTCTCTACCTCTGTCCTCCACCTTACCTTCCGGCGGCGATTAACTTCTCGAGAAAAGTGTCCACCATGGTGTCAAGGAGCTTCACCCTCGAAATGGTAGTGCCGGGTGGCACAGACTCCGAAGACAACCCCTCAGGCCCTTTTTCCTCACAAGCGCAGTCTACATTGGCGTTGCTCGCTTCGGCCATCTTGAAGTCGAACCGCCAAATCTAACTGGCCCGCCGCCCCGCCCGCCGAAGCTCCCGATTGGCCGCTCTCACACTGGGCGGCTGCGATTGGAAGTGGCTGAATGTCTATCACCGATCCCGGCAGGGGAGGGTAAATTGCCGGAGGCTGAGTATTGAGGAAAGATATCAAGTGCACGGATGTATCTCAGCAATCCAAAAAATACGCGAAAGCCAAGGCTCAGGGGCTCAATAAAAACTTTTAATTACACTACACAGACTTCGTACAGTGTAACAGTGAACGTTCACTGTTATATTCACAAAGAAGAGTCCATTTTATCGAATGTGAAGAGAGTCTGCATTTTCATTCCCCTGTCCCTTAATACTCGAATCAGTTTTCCTGTCTTCACTGTCAGGAGTTTCTTGTGGTTTGGTTACGACCATACATCAAACATTCTGGCTGCTTTGGCCTCCAGTTTTTTTGTTTTTTTTTTGAGACAGAGTCTCGCTTTCTTGCCTAGGCTAGAGTGAGTGCCGTGGGTGTCAGCTAAGCTCACAGCAACCTCAAAACTCCTGGCTCAAGCGATTCCTGTGCCTCAGCTCCCGCATAGCTGGATCCAAGCACGAGCCACCATGCCCGGCTGATTTTTATATGTATATATATTAGTTGGCCCATTAATTTCTTTCTATTTTATGGTAGAGAGACGGGGTCTCGCTCAGTGGTTTTGAACTCCTGACCTTGAGCAATCGCCGCCTCGGCTCCAGAGTGCTAGGACTTAAGGCGTGAGCACCGCGCCGGCCTTGGCTCCAGTTTTTGGAGAACACAAGTCCACTGTCCCATCCACACCAAGAAATTTCTAATCAAACACAATCCAATCCCTAAACTATGTCAGATGAAAGTAGGGAGCCAAGAGTCTTTAATTTATCACACATCATAATTTAAAACTATGTGTGTCCACTCTTCTGAGGGTCAAAATAAAAAAACTATGTATGAGAGAGAAACAGAAAGAAAACAGTGAAAGCTGTGAAATACTGTATAAGGATTTTGGGGAGGGGAAACACACAAAGACACTAGAGCAGCCCTACTCCTACGCGTTCGTCTTGGATTATGTCTTTTCTTCGTCGCCTTGTTGCCAATGCACAGTGTGGGAACATAAGAATAACCTGTAGTAACTTTAATAGATTGACAGGCCGTGCTATGCTACTATGTTATATTATACTAGCTAGCAGTGTCTTGAGGTGGTTATTCCAGGATAATACACATCTTGCGATGCACTGGAACGGTATCGAGGGCAGGAAGGATTAAAAGATGAATCACCCCTCTTAGAGGCGCCTCCCACTCCGCTGATATTCGCTCTCGACGCCTCACCAGCACCTGCGGATCACCACTCTCGTTAGCTAGAATAGGGTGTGCGATTTAGGCCTTTCTCGACGTGATTGCATATCTGTGCTGGTATGTCGAAGTTGCTACGTGCCGACTTATAGTGCGATCCATGTGGACCAATGGACATGAATTCACATCTTTTATAATGACTAGTAACATATCTCCTTAAGCTGGTATTACGGGGGATATTATAACCTCAACCTCCATCTGGTATAGAAAATAGAGAATTCAAGTTAGATGTATCCGTTACTTCGGTGATGCGGTGTATTGTGAAATAATGCTAAGTATGAAATGAGTAGAGCAGTAAGTATTTCTTGTACGGAGGAAATGAGAAGTCTGTATTCATGTATCTAGTCTCTGCTCAGCGGTCTGCTATAGAATGAATGATGTGCATGCGGCCATAAGAAATTGATGGAAAGTTTCTCAGTCTTTTCAGTTTTGAGTGTAACCTCTAGGCTGTAGCACCTTTCTCTCACTGTGGCATTGGCATCTACAGTGGCCTTTACATCCCCCACCAACTCGTCAAAGAGTCTCGCGCACCAATTATCTCAAGATGATCCTGCCAGGAGATTGTTGATCCATCTTTATGTCTATTGCAATATAGAATAGCACATCCCTAGTCATCGAAGTAGCAAATGCAGGGGTTATGTCATTATGTTGAACATCCCATTTGCGCTCGCTCTCGATTCTTCCTCTTTCTCACTGTTGTAGCCTCGCTGTGCCGTGAGCAACCATTTTGGCTTGTTGGGTACCTTGTACGTAGTGCAATGGTGAGGGAAGATGAGCATGGTCTTTGTCGGAAATGATGTGACTGCTTCTTATGAGGTGTCTTTTTAGCATCTGATAATGTCTTGTCAGCGGATCAGGCTGATGTAGATATGCAGTGTAGGTCTCTATTGAATGATGTGTTAGTATGGTATTTGGTAGGAATGTTGTGTTCTCACATTATCTCTCTTATGTACTCCATAATGATTGTGTTGTCACTGTATGTCTTGTGTTGTGTTTCATGTGATTCTTGTTGCGCTCCTATGTGCTAATGCTGATGTTCTTGGTTGTGATGACAATACCTCCCAGCCAATTCCTCGTTTACTCGAAGAGCATTGCTTGGTGTGATTGGTTTTTGTCATGTATCCGTTCGATGGTGTTAGCTCGTTTTTTCTGTTCTTTATGAGAATTCTTGACTATCTATGGCAATTCTTGATAGGGTGCAATGTTGTCTGTCCATGCCATGTTGTCTTGGGTCTATGTCTGTCTGCGATAACCTTCCAATATTATTCCTAATCCATCCTTGCATATGCTTGTAGCTCAGCCTGTGGGAGACTATCTATCCATTATTTGTATTGTCGGCGCTTGTCTATCTTTTTCATCAATTTTTATTAGTTTCAGGTGTAGAGTCGTGCAGCGTTCGTGACATGGTTCTCATTTCCATAGTCCTAAGATGTTTATTCCTTTCAAAATCAATGCTTATGGTTAGATAACGTATACTTGTTTGCACTTGTCTTTTTAGGGTAGTGCTCCAAGTCCAGTGCAGTCCCAGACAGCCTGATCTGTCTTATGATACTGTGTGTATGCTGTACCCTTGCATATCTTACTGATCTCTCGCGCTGTAGGTGCTAAGGCCAGCTTCAAACGTCTAGAGGCGATGGAAGAAGGAGTAGCGCGATAGCAGCGGTTTCATATTTCTTAGGCTGCTGGTGAGTGAGAATCGACGAGACTTGCAACACTGTGTTATTGCGAGTTGATTATACTGGATCCTCAACGGGTTGCTAGAATGCGAATATTAAGTTTAGCTCTAATATCGATTTCTTTTTCCGTGTCTCGATGGATAGGTTTCTTGTGATTTGGTGTTTCTTTTGATTAAGTATAAATCAGTTCGTGCTTCGGCGGTGCTTCGTAGAGATTTATGAGCATGAGCTGCTTTTACTGCGATTTTCGCCTGTGGTAACTCTATATTATATCATTCTACTCCTTTGCTCTCTTGTTATGCTTTAGATTGGTTCTATCTAGTTTAAAGAAAAAGTACTATGTTAATAGAACAGCTATCGGATTCGCAGAGAGGCATCCATGTTATGTTCACTGTAACTCTAGTGAAGGAGAGCTTTCAGCGATATCTCCCTGTAGTTCTCCCCATAATGATGTCGTGTGGACATTACTCATCCATATGAGTATAGGCGCGTGATGTTATATGCTCTTGAGAACCAGTGGTTTGGTATCGGTCCTGCTCGTGCTGCTCCCTGTGCAAATATACCTAATTTTAATGAGCTGAGCATCCTCTTATGCCACTCTCAATAGGATGTATATTTTTAAAATGAATTCTGTCATCTATGTGGCTGTGATTATGCTTGAGGTGTTATGTCTGTGGGTTGGCAGGCTCAGTCTCCAAAATAAAAATTAAGGCTAAGAGATGAAGAGTGAGAAGGGCTCATGGCCGTGCTTGGGAGACTGGGTGCAGTATAGCTTTATAGAGTACCAAGAAGCCAGTTGGGTGCTCGCTAGGCACAGACACGCCTGGTCACGGTGTCATAAAGGGGCTCAGGTTCCAGGTGCTGTGAGCAGAGCTGAAGTGACGTGCAGGCGGGCTGATGCCAGAGAATAGTCTGCATGATGGGTCCTTAATGCAGAGCTGAGAACAGTGACTGAGTGGGGGCCCAGCTCAGCTAGATTAAAAATAGTGGCCAAGAGATCCGAGCATGAATTCCTCTTCAGGCAAGAAGCATGTTCAATAGTCTCTTCCCTGTCCCAATAGGCCACCTGACTCAGGGCAGGCTACAGATTGCATTTATGGGCAGCTTGGGATGAGGTGCTGTCCTCCTCCACTCTGCCTCCAACCCAGAGTTAGTGTGATAAGAGCAGGCTTCTCTCGCTCACCACTGGTTACCAAGTGTTGGAGTCCAGCTTATGTCTCAGTCGGAGTGGTGTCTGAGGCCTCTCATAGGGCCCCCCCATCCACGTGAGCAGTATGGTGGAAGGTGTGCGCTGAGATGATCTGGCTGAGAGGCCCTTCATGAGGCCCCAAGGCCCTTCTTCTGCCATCAGTTGTCTGAAGGTCAGGATGATGGAGTTCTTGCCCTCAACCTGGAAAAGTCAACACAGTGGAGGGCCATTGTTTGTAGTCAAAGGCCCTCTGCTTAATCTCCCTCTGCCTTAGGCTAAAGCAGGGAGAATTAGACTTGGGGAGTCCAAAGGGCTGGATTCTGTCTCTGAGAGACAGTACAGCAAGTGGTTTAGTATGAGCTCTGGCACCAGACTGCCTGGGTTTGAATTCTGCTGCCCAACTTACTAACAGCGTAGCCTTGGATAATTTACTTAATTATCTGTGCCTCACTTTACTCAAATCTAAAACAGAGATAATAGTACCTACACCATGAGGTTGTTGAGTAAGAAAGAAAATAATACCCACAAATGCTAACAGTGGTGGCAGATATTAAGTGTTCAATAAATGTTAGCTATTATTAATATCATTAGATAAACTATGTAGCTACGAGTCTTTGGACTAGGTGCCTCTCCCTGGTCTTAGGGAGGCTGGATTAAATCTCCTGTAAGGTCCTTTGCAGCTTTGCTAGTCCATGATTTTGATTCTGGTCATCTTAATCCCTTTGAAACCCCAGGTCTAGAACTGTCCCCTCCATTCCTGTCATCTCTCATGTACTCCATGAATGAATAGAGGCATCTTCCCTATTACACTGGAAAACCTAGCCAAGGCAGGAATCTCTTCCTTCTTCTTTCTCAACAGTCCCACTTCCTCCCCAGTCCCACCCCTAAACTACCCCTTTAGAGACCACCCCATTCAGCTGGAGCCAATGTGGGACAGATGCATTCCTTGTTCCTACCTCCCCCATATGGTATGACCTCCAAAAGGTACCCCAGCCATCGCTAAGAACATCTCCCCATTCCACCCTGTCTCCTTTCAGCACTGTCCTCCACACTCCCTTCTTCTCCAGTACTCTCTCCTCTCATCTACCACCTCTGCTCCCCTAACCCTCCCATTTATCCATAGCACGTCAAGGGCTTTTCCAGCTATGTCCCTGGTCCTCCAGCCTGGAGCTCCTCAAAGTAGAGATCTGTCCTGTCCCTTGGATCTCCTCCTAGAACACCCAGGACAAGGCTCAGAAGACAATGGGGACTGAGCCTGTGCACTTCATTATCTCCAAACCAACAAGACTCCAATGTATTTATTTTAAATTGGGGGGGCACACTTTCCTAGGGACAAAACTACCTATATTTATTATCCATCGCCTTCCAGATATCCTGGTACCAGGGAAGCTGATTTTATCCCCAACCTGTTAAGGGTATTTTCCTTCCCTTTTCACCACACCCCAAGGACCCTACTCTCCTGTATACCTTTGATTCTCCTCTTCTTTTAAGTTACCCAAATAGGACATTAAAATCTCCCATGCTTTCTTTTTTTTTTTTGAGATAGAGTCTCATTTTGTTGCCCGGGCTAGAGTGCTGTGGCATCAGCCTAGCTCACAGAAACCTCAAACTCCTGGACTCAAGTGATCCTTCAGCCTCAGCCTCCTGAGTAGCTGGTACTACAGGCATGCGCCACCATGCCCGGCTAATTTTTTCTATACATTTTTAGCTTTCCAAGTAATTTCTATTTTTAGTAGAGACGGGGTCTGGCTCTTGCCCAGGCTGGTCTCGAACTCCTGAGCTCAAACGATCTGCTGGCCTCAGCCTCCCAGAGTGCTAGGATTACAGGTGTGAGCCACCGTGCCTGGCCTTTCCATGCTTTCTACCTAAAACTTTATACAGCAAAACCTATCAATGGCATTTTATATATCATCATTCAGATTCTATTTCCTTGGTCTAGGTGCTGGGTAATTGTCTTTGAACTGAATGAAGACAGGCACTATAATTTCTGGACAGCACCACCAAGGGCTTTGTCAGGGTGTTTGCTGAGTCCACACAGTACAATCTGTGAAACCTATTTAAGAATAGTCACTGTCATAATCTGTAGAGAGCTCATAGCTTAGTGGAAAAACCAGACAGACTTACAACATTAACTGAAATCACTATTTCTAATAACCACAAACCTACAAGGTAAAGGAAAGGGTGGTTGATAGACTTTGTTAATAGGCTATGGAATAGGATTCCTATAAAGGCTGGAAGAAACCAGTAAGTTTTCCTGGAGGCATGGGCATGTAATGGAGTAGGAGAGACATGCAGACTAGCAGACAAAGTGAGAGAAGCATTCTAGGTGCTTCCAAGTGCTCAGCTGGTATCTATAGATGGTAAGCTCAAGGAAGGGACTTGGATGGCCAGAAGAAGCCTGACTTTACTACAGGGCCATGACACCAAGAGGTCAGGGGAAGACTGGAGGGCCTGAAGATCACACTTCTAATGGCTTATCCAGGAGGCTGAGGATGCCAGTCTTACCTGCACACGGGTTCGGATGACATCCATGGGATTGGTGAGGATGGAGGCAGTGGCTGCAGCCAGAGGCCCTGAGATGGCTTGAAAGACAATGTGAGGGCACTCCTTAGGACACAGGTAGGAGAGCTGCTCTATATATAGAGAAAAATTAGCCAGGCCATGGTGGTGCATGCCTTGTAGTCCCAGTACTAGGGAGGCTGAGGCAGCAGGATTTCTTGATCCCAGGAGTTTGGAGGTTGCTGTGAGCTAGGCTGATGCCACGGCTCTCACTCTAGCTTGGGCAACAAAGTGAGACTCTTCTCAATAAAAAAGAAAGTTATCCTTCCTTGAAAAGCTCTTTCATAGATGCATGTGGCTTGTACTGCCTCCTTCAGGCTTGCTCAGACTTCACCCTCTTGGAATGGGCTTCCATAAACACCTGTTTAAAATGGCAATCCCTTTACCCCCTACTGTTGGCATTCCTTGCCCTCTTCCTGCTTTATTTTTTCTAATATCACATACCTTCTGACATAGCTATATATTTGCTTTTTATTTGTTAATTGTCTGTTCTTCTCGCTAGAATATAATTTCCTAGGACAGGAATTTGAGGTTTTTTTATTCACTGTTAAATCATCAGGTCGAGGGTGATCACCTCATGGTAGTCACTCAATAAATCTTTGTTGAATAAATGAATGAAATCTTTCACCACCAGAGGAGGCAAACAAAATTCAGTTACAGGTAGATTTCCCAGTGGTACTGGGAATGGGTGAATCTGGGTGCCAGTCTATCTTGATTAGCATTTTTTTTTTTTTTGAGACAGTCTCATGCTGTTGCCCAGGCTAGAGTGAGTGCCTTGGTGTCAGCCTAGCTCACAGCAACCTCAAACTCCTGGGCTCAAGCGATCCTCCTGCCTCAGCTCCGATAGCTGGGACTACAGGCATGCACCACCATGCCCGGCTAATTTCTTCTATATATTTCTAGTTGACCAACTAATTTCTATTTTTTAGTAGAGATAGGTTCTCGCTCTTGCTCAGGCTGGTTTTTTTTTTTTTTTTTTTTTTTTGAGACAGAGTCTCGCTTTCTTGCCCAGGCTAGAGTGAGTGCCGTGGCGTCAGCCTCGCTCACAGCAACCTCAGACTCCTGGCTCAAGCAATCCTCCTGCCTCAGCCTCCGAGTAGCTGGACTACAGGCACGAGCCACCATGCCCGGCTGATTTTTTTATATATATATATTAGTTGGCCATTAATTTCTTCTATTTTTTTATGGTAGAGACGGGTCTCGCTCAGGCTGGTTTTGAAACTCCTGACCTTGAGCAATCGCACGCCTCGCTCAACGCAGTCTAGGATTACACGGTGGGAGGCTACCACAAACCCCACCTTGATTAGCCATTTTGGCAAAATGTAATCTTCTTCTTCTTGATATAGGCTGGAGAAAAGTTCTCACTGTGGGAATGACTATCTATTTTTAATATTGTTTTGTTTTTAAAACATTTACATGGGCCAGCTCGGTGCTCACGCGTCGTAAATCTTAGCTTCTCTGGAGGCCGGGCGGGCGGATTGCTCAAGGTCAGGAGTTCAAAACCAGCTGAGCAAGAGTGAGGACCCGTCTCTACTATAAATAGAATTAATTGGCCAACGATATACTATACTATAAAACAATTAGCCGGGCATGGGTGGCGATGCTGTAGTCCAGCATAGGGAGGCTGAGCAGGAGGATCGCTTGAGCCCAGGAAGTTTGAGTTGCTGTTGAGCTAGGCTGACACCACCGGGCACTCACTCTAGGCCTGGACAAAAACCGAGACTCTGTCTCAAAAAAAAACAAAACATTTACATGGTTCAAAATTCAAAAGATAGGAAAAGGTATGCAATATGGCAGCTGCAAAGTAACTCCTCCCTACTGTAAGGCCACTGAGTTCCCTTCTGGTTGTTTGTGTTGTTTTGAGAGACGGGCTGGTGGGTGGCTGCTTACACCTGTAATCCTAGCGTTCAGAGCTGCAAGTTAGGAATTGCTTCGGGCACGGGTTCAAGACCAGCTGAACAAACGATACTCTGTCTTAAAAAGGGATACGAAATTGACTGGCCAGACAAATATATAGAAAAATTACTGGGCATGGTGGGCATGCTGTAGTCCCAGCTACTCAGAGGCTGAGGTAGGAGAATCACTTGAGCCCAGGAGTTTGAGGTTGCTGTGAAGCTAGGTGACGCCACAGCCACTCTAGCCGGGCAACGAGTGGAGGCTCTGTCTCAAAAAAAAAAAAAAAAAGATAGAAAAATTAGCCAGGCTTTGTGCACGATGCCTGTAGTCCCAGCTACTAGGAAGGCTGAGGCAGAGCGATTGGCTTGAGCCCAGGATTTGAGGCTGCAGTGAAAGAACAGAGTCTCACTTGTTGCCCAGGAAGAGTGCATGAAGTTGCAATGGTGCCATAATAGCTCACTGCAGCCTCAGACTTCGGGTGTACCAGTTTTAATGTATTACTCGAGTTATTCACGTCGCATATATAAGCAATATTTAGTGTGTGCTTCTAGACTGTGAGTTGCGGAGGAGCAGAATAAGACAGAGGTATTTATATCAGGAGTATTGTCTTTTTTTTTTTTTTTTTTAAGGAAGTATTTTCCATCTAGCAGGTGAAAGGGTCAGCAAGGCAAAGAGGTTTGATCCTTCCAGAGGATCTTGTCTTGTTTAAATGGGTGGATGTCACCAAGATGACTTTTGAAAGAGCTGATATTTATAATATCAATTTTTTTTTGATGCAGATGGAAGCGAGAATAGATGGGTGTTACGGGTCTATGGTGGCAAAAGGATGGAGGTTTGTCATGGGGAGGAAGGCCAACTGGCAGAAGCAGCAAGCCTAGTAAGGGGCAGTGGGTGATACCTCATGCCTTGAGGCATTGTCTTTCCCTCGGGATTCAGATATTAGTTGGCCAATTAATTTCTTTCTATTTATAGTAGAGATGGGGTCTCACTCTTGCTCAGGCTGGTTTCAAACTCCTGACCTTGAGCGATCCTTCTGCCTTGGCCTCCCAGAGTGCTAGGATTACAGGCGTGAGACACTGAGCCTGGTCAGAAGGGATAACATTCTATGCAAAAGCCCTGAGGCAGGAGCACCTAGCAAATATTTGAGGGACAGCAAGGCCAGTAGGCTGGAGCAGAATGAGCAAGGGAAAGAACAGTAAATGAGATCCAAGTAATAAGCCACTTAGGGTTTTCTCTTCTGTAGTTCAGTTGCAATACCTTTAAGAATTTTTTTCTCATGTTCCTAGGTTTGGTAGTTTGTGGCCAGGGAGAAGTAGGGAGGTGAAAGTTGGCAGAGCAGAAGTAAAGGCTTCTAAGTCCCAGCTGGCATGGTTAAGCCCTTACCAGAACCACCTCTCCCCCAGTTTCTAATCACTTTCTCCCCAGAATCAGCACAAACAGAAACAAAGTGAACTGGGGCAATGCCTCATGGGTGTCTGGTTTCTCCCGAAGGCATTTTGCAATTATTAGAATGTAGTATCTGGACTGGCCTGTCTACACTGACACCCAGGCTTGTAAGCTGCAGTGGGATCCAGATTCCAATTCTAATCATTCACACATGCCATTTTCTTGGGGCTTCAGGGAAGGATGAAAATACAAAGGCGAGAAGGTGGGAGAAAGAGCTTCATGTCTTTCCTCCCTTCCCCCCCCGCCCCCCGTTATTCATTCAATAAACATTTTAAGAACCGCTTATCTATAAGGCAGAAGATAAACCCAGACTTGTTGTAAGTTTCTCCTGGCTAAATGACTTTGGACAAAGTGCCAAGGCGGGAGGATAGCTTGAGGTCAGGAATTCAAGACCAGGCTGGGAAACATAGTGAGACCATGTTCTCTGAAAAAAAAATTTTAAATTAGCCAGTGTGGTGGCACATGCCTATTGTCCTAGCTACTTGGGATGGGAGGCTGAGGCTGAGACAGGAGGATTGCTTGAGCCCAGGAGTTTGAGGCTGAAGTGAGCTATGATTACACTGCTGCACTCCAGCCTGGGTGACAGAGCAACACCCTTCTCAAAAAAAAAAAAATGACAACAACAACAAACACAAAGAAATGGACAGGGAAATCCTTTAATGAAACTTTGAAACTTGCATTCTAATTAAGAAACTGGGGCCGGGCTTGGTGGCTCATGCCTGTAATCCTAGCACTCTGGGAGGCAGAGGCGGGCGGATAGCCTGAGGTCAGGAGTTCAAAACCAGCCTGAGCAAGAGCGACACCCCATCTCTACTATAAATGGAAAGAAATTAATTGGCCAACTAATATAGATAGAAAAACTTAGCCGGGCATGGTGGCGCATGCCTGTAGTCCCAGCTACGGAGGCTGAGGCAGTAAGATTGCTTTAGCCCAGGAGTTTGAGGTTGCTGTGAGCTAGGCTGACGCCACGGCACTCACTCTAGCCTGGGCAACAGAGTGAGACTCTGTCTAAATAAATAAATAAATAAGCAAGCAAGCAAGCAAGGCATGGTGGTACATGTAGTCCTAGCTACTTGGGAGGCTGAGGTGAGAGGATCACTTGAGCCCAGGAGTCCAAAGTTATACCGAGCTATGATCACGCCACTGTATTCGGTCTGGGTGACAGAGACCCTGTCTCTTAAACAAACAAAAAAAGTTAAGTCATGATTTCACCAAGAGTAAGCTAATCAGGAAGGCATGTAGGCAGAGGGAGGGCATAAACAAAGCACAGAGGTAGGAAAGCAGATACATGGTTGAGGAATTGTGCATCCTCTGTCCAGACTGCAGCACAGATGGCCTGAACATAGGGAAACAATAGGAGATTTCACTGTAAAGGGAGGCAGAATCCAGGCTGAAGAGTTTGGATTTTATTCAGTAAGTAGTGAGAGTCTCTGAACATCACAAATAGGGTTTAAAAGGTTAATCCATTAGGATGTATGCAATGGATAGGAAAAGAAGAGAACTTAGAACAGCTAGAAGGCTGATGTAGCAGGCTAGGAAGATGGTAACAGAAGTATGGTTTCCAGAGAAGGTAGCAGGAACCAAGAGAAAGTTGGGAGAAGCATTTTAGAGTCCCCAGGACTAGATGTGGGAACAAAGGAAGAGGGAGTGGTCAAGTACAATCCCCAAGGCTTCGGTTTCAGTGATTTGGAGAATAATAAGGCCATGGAAAACGAAAGTAAATCAGAAAGGAGAGCCAGCTTGGGACAAAGAATAGTTAATTGAATAAAATTTCAGACATAAGCAAATGCATCCAGGTAGAGAGGTCCAACAGTCAGAATGTCCATCTAGGCCGGGCATGGTGGCTGACATCTGTAATCCTAGCACTCTGGGAGGCTGAGGCAGGCGGATTGTTTGAGCTCAGGAGTTCGAGATCAGCCAGAACAAGAGCAAGACCTCGTCTCTACTAAAAGTAGAAAGAAATTAGCTAGACAACTAAAAATAGACAGAAAAAATTAGCCAGGCATGGTGGCGCATGCCTGTGGTCCCAGCTACTTGGGAGGCTGAGGCAGAAGGATCGCTTTGAGCCTAGGAGTTTGAGGTTGCTGTGAGCTAGGCTGACGCCACGGCACTCTAGCCGCAGCACTCCAGCACAGGCAACAGAGTGAGACTTTGTCTAGAAAAAAAAAAAAAAGTATGTCCATCTAGAGCTTTGGAAAGATTAGTCTGGAGATGGAAATAGAGATGTTGGACATGTCTGAAAAGTGCAGCTGTAATTAATTATAAATAAGAGCAAATGAGGAGAAAAGGCTAAAGACAGACTCTAGAGAAAATGCTCACATTTCCCGGGAAGATTTTTTTCCTTAAGTAATTAATTCTTGCCAGGCATGGTGGCTCACACCTGTAATCCTAACACTTTAGGAGGCCAGGCTGGGAAGATTGCTTGAGGCCAGGAGCCAGAAGTTGGAGACCAGGTAGAGCAAGAGTGAGAACCTGTCTCTACAAAATGCAGAAAAATTAGTCGCACATAGTGGCGTGCACGTATAGTCCCAACTACTTGGGAAGCTGAGGCAGAAGGATTGCTTGAGCCTCGGAGTTTGAGGTTGCAGTGAACTATAATGATGCCACTGCATTCTAGTCTGGGGGACAGAGTGAGACCCTGTCACCAAAAAAAAAAAAATTAATTTCCCACTGGGGGCGGGGCACAGTGGCTCACGCCTTTAATCCTAGTACTCTGGGAGGCCAAGGCGGATGGATTGTGAGGTCAGGAGTTAGAAACCAGCCTGAGCAAGAGCAAGACGCCATCTCTACTATAAATAAAAAGAAATTAATTGGCAAACAAATATATATATATATAAAATTAGCCGGGCATGGTGGCACATGCCTATAGTCCCAGCTACTCGGGAGGCTGAGACAAGAGGATTGCTTGAGCCCAGGAGTTTGAGGTTGCTGTGAGCTAGGCGGAGGCCACGGCACTCACTCTCTAGCCTGGGCAACAAAGTGAGACTCTGTCTCAAAAAAAAAAAGTAATGTAATTTCCCACTGGGGAATCAAACCCCAGTCTCCCACTTGACGTCAGAAGCTTCCAGGAATCTGACTTTTAGCAAATACTCTAGATCAAAGATTATGCTAATCAGAAGAAACAGACCTGGCAAAAAGCAAGTTTAATCAGAAAAACAGAAGGAACACCAGAAAAGCACAGTGCCACAGAAACAAAATGATTACAGGTTAGAAAGTCATTACAAAATTTGAACAGAAAGGTTCCAGATGGGTACCCTCAGATGTGTTACATATAAGAAAAAAGAAAGAAAGAAAAATTCCAGATGAGATGGGACATAATGCTAATTCCAAGGGTTAGGAGGCAACAGTAAGGATTAGGGAGGTTGCAGGCCGTTGTTTGCCCTAACAGGAGCTCAGTAGTTACTCAAAGCAGTGGATGGACATCCCAGAGTAGCAGGAACACTCAAGTCCTGCTCTTCACAATATTGTACTCTGCCCTTTCAGAAGGCAATCCAGCACTACGTCTGTGGAAGCCCTCAAAAGTGTTCTCTTTTGACCCGGTAATCCCATTCTGGGAAATTAACTTAAAGTCTTATGAACAAAGATACATTATTATAGAAGCAGAGAGGTTTAAAGTTATGTTACACCTTGAATTTAACAATGCTGAGGGAAAATATCCAACTCAAAAGCTCACTATTATCTGTCAATTGTTTTTGTTTTTTTTTTTGAGACAGAGTCTCACTGTTGCCGGGGCTAGAGTGCTGTGGCATCAGCCTCGCTTAAAGCAACCTCAAACTCCTGGGCTCAAGCGATCCTCCTGCCTCAGCCTCCCAAGTAGCTGGGACTACAGGCATGCGCCACCATGCCCGGCTAATTTTTTGTGTATATTTTTAGTTGTCCAGCTAATTTATTTGTTTTTAGTAGAGACAGGGTCTCGTTCTTGCTCAGGCTGGTAATCGATCTACCTGCCTCGGTCTCCCAGAGTGCTAGGATTACAGGCGTGAGCCACCACGCCCGACCTATTATCTGTCAATTTTATCTGCAAATTCCAAACATCTCATGGCAGCTTTTGTCCTCCCCCACCTTCCAAAGATTTGCCAACATTCTGCTAATCTAAATTGATTCCAATGTACCTAGAGCATACATTATACACTCTTTTGTAGTCACCTATTACACTTGCCTGCTTTCCCTCACTGTTATAAGATCTTTGAAGGCAAGAACCATGTCTTATTCATCTTTGAATCATCTTGAATTCAAATTTTTTTTTTTTTTTTGAGACAGAGTCTCGCTTGTTGCCCAGGCTAGAGTGAGTGCCGTGGCGTCAGAGCTCACAGCAACCTCAAACTCCTGGGCTCAAGCAATCCTTCTGTCTCAGCCTCCCGAGTAGCTGGGACTACAGGCATGTGCCACCATGCCCGGCTAATTTTATATATATATATATTAGTTGGCCAATTAATTTCTTTTTATTTATCGTAGAGACGGGGTCTCGCTCTTGCTCAGGCTGGTTTCGAACTCCTGACCTTGAGTAATCCGCCCGCCTCGGCCTCCCAGAGTGCTAGGATTACAGGCGTGAGCCACCGCGCCGGCCCCAAATTCAAATATTTGCTGAATGAATGACCCATTCCCCCTGCTAAATCTTACCTCCACTCCAACATGTACACAGCAACAGTATCTCAGCTTCATTGGTAACCCCACTCTCCTGGCCCTGCTTACCTGCGTAGAAGTGATAGAAGGGCCACCAGACAGCACTGTTTGGGATATAGGTAAGCAGTGAAGCCACGTAGCCTCGGTAGAAGCCGCGAAGTCCATCGGCCCGCAGGATCTGTCTGATGATGTCCTTCGTTTGGCCAAAAGCAACAACCCCTTGTCCCTCTAGGTTCCCCCGCACATGGAAGCGGCCCACTTTTTCACCTTTGCGCTGCATCATCAGGTGCTGAGAGACTACATCAATGGGCACCGTGATGCTCTGGGCTACAAGGGAAGCCGAGCCACCAGCCACCAGGGATTTGACTGTGTTGCTCTGGCTGTAGTCAGCTACAAACTTCCGGGTGAGTTCATAAGTGGTGACATAGCACTGGCCAGAGATGAGGGTGAAGGTGTTGACTAGGAACCCCCGGTAGAGGCCAGTCACACCATCTGCTCGCAGGATCTTGATGAAGGCATCAAAGGTCCCATGGTAGAGGCTCCTGCCCTTCTGAACCTGCAGCCGGGTGCGGATGAGAGTGAATGGGTAGACGCTGACACGGATCATCATTGTCATTGCCACACCAAACACATAGAACTTCTTCTTGTCCAGGTGTTCCCACTCTATGATCTGGATGTTGCGTTTGTCCTCCATTGTGACTGAAGACCTGGGATGTGAGCAGGTTGGAGAGATGTGAAGAAGGAGGTAAGAAATTTGCACTTTCCCCTCCTTGCTAGGTTCTGAAGCCACATTCTCAGGTTTCATCTCCTGGACACTCACCTCTCCAAAGCCTAGACTTCACCCAGCCTGGCTCTGCCGATCCCCACCTGAGTCGTCCTTCACAGATTAGGATCACAGCCTCCTCTGTCCATGCCCAGTCCTTCCCAACTCAAGTTCTCTCCTCCATAATCGTTCCTCACCACAGTGATTCCCCTGGCCCACCTCAGCTCTGTGCCCCAAGCTTATAGGATCTTCTAGCTTGACTCTGTCTCTGCCTGGGCCTGGGCCCTGTTGTCACAACCCCAAGGGACCATTCTCCTTGTCTGGCTCACACAGGCAGAGCTCAGGATACTGTGGACAAATCAACTACCTGGCAGGACGCAGGGCCTTTAAGTGTGTTAATGGGATGTTACTAAGTGACATTTAGAAGGCTCCCAGAGGCTGAAAAGGAGTGCTCCATTTTTTGATGCTCCTGGACCCACTGAAGAGGCACCACCTTGGCCCTTCCTTTTTAGCAGGGTGTTTCTTATCACCATTTACCAGTTGACTCGTTTCATTTTTGGTTTCCCATGCTAGCCCCTCTGAGCTCCCCTGATCCACACTCTCTACACTTCTACAGCATTTTCTCCAGTCTGCAGTAGAAAAAAGCGTGGGAAAGAGGGCAAGTGGGGCTTTCACACCACAGGGCACCCCTCACCACCTCTCCTCCCTCCAATGAAAGGAGTTAAAAAGTCAGGAACAGGCCAAAGGTCAGAGTCCTCTTTGGTTATTAGATAACTCACTCAGAGAAAGACAGAAAAGAACTACCTGAGAGCTAACTAGTTTTCCTGAAGCCTGGAGAACTACAAGGTAGAGAACACATTTGACACTATGCTTTCAACTCTAAGAATATAAACCACAACCTCACCCCTAGACAACAAAGGGAGAGAGGAGTGACAGAACAGATAGACTCGGGCTTTGAGAAACTCAGTCTGTTCAAGGAGACACAGTATCATACTGGGAATGGGTATAAGATACAATGGGTATAAGAGGGAAAAAACCAGGACAAGTTAATGTACATGTGGCCCTCATGTTAAGTGTATCCAATGCCTAGGATCTCAAAAAAAAAACTAATAAGCTCACTAATGTAAAAATTGTATAAGGAAATGTCAAACCAGAGGACATCATGTATTAGACATATACTTAGTGGTAACATAATGTGCTCCAGTGTAGCCCACCCCTGTTCTTTACAATAATGGAAAGTTTTGGCCAGAAAGGGAGAGTAGGAAGATAAATTCCAGGAAGAAGCAGGGGCTCCCCAGATTTTAAGAAAAACCCCTTAAGGCAGAGAAAGGAGGTAGCCACATCACAGTGATGACTCCAGAGGGCTAAAACATTCTATGCCAGTGGCTCCAGTGGCAAACCTCATGCCAAGTGCCTAATCAGAGTTCATCCTCAACCAGCTTCCCCAACCAAAGGTCTGTCCCAACTCAGGCTTCAGATAGCTTTTGTCCCATGGGAGTCAGTGAGAAAGCAAGGTTGGCTTTTTGGGACTCCCTGAGCTGGACTGTATCATTTTCATTAGAGTATAGACTACCCACAGTGCACAAATTGAGTACTTGAGAGCTGAAGGAAAACCTTAGCTTCAAGGCGAGGAATGGATAGCCTGGACAACATATAAGACCCCATCTCTACAAAATTAAAAAAAAAATTAGCCAGGCATGGTGGCACACACCTGTAGTCCTAGCTACTCAGTGGCTGAGCCAGGAGGATTGCTTGAGCCCAGGAGTTCAAGGTTACAGTGAGCTATGATTATGCCACTGCACTCTAGCCTGGGTGACAAAGCAAAACTCTGTCTCTTAAAAAGACAAAAAAAGGGAGGGGGCTGAGAAATGGGTAAGGTGCTCCTAACCAGGTCAGACTATCTGCAGACAAAGAAGTTTGAATGAAAGAGAAATACATATAGACAGTGAAAGGGAGAGAGAAGACATGGTCAACTGGGTTGGCCAGAATGGAAAATGTGGGCTGTGGAAAATGAGCTAGAGGTGGGGTTCTGCAGTCAGGAGAACTCCTGGAACACTGATGTGCCACTTGCTGTAGGCAAAGGTGGCCTTCATCCCCAGCCTCAGCCTGGGACACCCACTAAGTCCAGTGGGGCAATCTTTTCCTCTGAACCCTTCAACCAAAAGTGGTCACTGACTCTCCTGCCCCAGGGTGAATGTCATCCAGGGTCCCAAGATGTTTCCAACATCACTGAGATGAGAAGATACAGATAAACACTAGGATTTACTGAGTAGCTAATACCCCATGTAATCCTTACAACTTACCTCTGTACAGTAAGAGACTTATGATAAATGAGGAAATAGACTGTTAGCTAGGTTAAAAGTAACAGGCTCAAGGTCATGGAGCTAGTAAAAGGTAGAGACAGGATGAGCTAAGATTTCTCCTCTACTCTACCTGCCTCTCACCCCATGCGGTTGAGGACTTCTAACACAAATCACTGTTTAAAGCCAAGTCATTCCCAACCCTGGAGGCAAAATTAATGCTCTCTTGGCTGCAGGTCACCCAAGGGTTAAGCATACGCTCTTGGCCATGCAGATGCCCAGGGCCTTCGCTCAGTTTTGTTCCAGAGAAACCAAGAGCTGCCTCTGCTTTCTCAGTGTGTTGTTTGTGGAGGGACTGAGCTTAGTGGCTGAGCAGTCACATATCAACACAGGACACACAAGGCTCTCTCAAGCAAGAGAGCCTCCTGGTGGGCACATGCAAACTGCGTGTTCTGTAGGACAGAGGGTCACAGAGAAACTGAAAGAGAGCAACAAAGGGTTCTGTTCCAGGACCTGGCTTCATGGCGCTATCTCAACTTGTCAAGCTGAATCACCAAGTACTAGCATCTCCTAATGAGAAATGCTAAGGCAGGACCCACTGCCCCATTTCCCCCTTGCCTCCCTCTCGCACACTTGCCAGTCTATTTTAAATTCCCAGAAGAAAATGGGGACTATCTGAGGTAGTTAACTCCTATATTGTTGTGGTGACAGGAGAAGCCACTAAGGGTCATGCCTCAAAGAGGTAAGCCACTACAGTAGAAGAGAGGGCACAGCACCCACTCCCTTTACCCCCTTGGTCTTCTTTACCCCCTCAAAAGGGGCAGACTGCTCCTATAAGGTGGGAGCCCAACCTGCTCTTTGTTACATAATTTCCAAACTTCCTGCTGAAATATCAAAACCAGTTCCTCTTGCTTTACCCCCTGAAAAGTCCTCCTTGCATTTATCTGTAAACAAAGTTCCTTCAGCCTTCCTCCCAACTCAGTCAGCCCAATTCTTTATGGCTCTTTCCCAGACCTTTATTTGTGTGCATGGCTCCAATTCTGGATTTTCTCCCACCTATTAACACTGCTCAGGCACAGATGTTGAAGTGCTTCCTGAAGGGACCCAACAGGTGGCTGAGGATTAGTAAACACTTTGTCCTGAAGTCATCAAGTGAAATGTTAGAGATGGAGCTCCCACTAGTGACACTGCCAATGAAAAAGGACAAATAAACTGGCCTAAGTATGTACACCTCCTCTCCACTTCCATGTTTCTTGTACCAGAAAGTTCACTCCAAACTATTCACTCAGAAGGCAGTGTCACTTGGAAGGCAAAGTTATACAATGGAAAGAACATCAGTAGTCAGGAGATCTATATTTGAGTTCTACTTCCATTACTTACTAGCATATGATAGGACCTAGTCACTTCACCACAATTCAGTGTCCTCATCTGTGAAATGAGCTAATAAACAGAGCTTGCCAATGGTATATAACAGTTGTGGTACAACTCATATGAGCTAATAATTATGAAAGTATTTTGTTAACAGTAAAGCATTTCTATCATTGCAGAAAGTTCTACTGGACAGTGATGCTCTAAGTTCTTGCCACTCAAGTGTCCACAGACCAACATGGGCTCCACCTAGAAGCTTGTTAGAAATACAGAATTTCAGGTTGTACTCCAGACCTGCTGAGTAAGAACCAACATTTGAACAAGATCTCTGAGTGATTTATATTCATATCAAAGTTTGGGAAGCATTGCTTTAAATATTAAGGATTTTCAGTATTACAAGAATTGTAACAACTGCTCTAGAACTCCAGGACCATTCTGACTAGGTTAGGAGCCCTCTGACTCCATCCTGACTTGTCACTGGAACTGAGTGCAACGATGACCACTTCTTCCATTCTGATCTTTTCAGCCAATCATTCCCACCAAATCAAAACATCTTCTGCAACTCCTGAAAAGACACTCATGGGTTTCCACTTCTCAGCTGGAAACAAGGAGAGTAGAGACCAGCATCTTCTATTCCTTCCGTTCTCTATTGCATCTAGATCAAGGCTCTGCATCCTGGGAGCTATCTACCACATGAATGTGAATATATTTACATGTCTGCCCACCTATCCTACTGAACATTCATTTCCCTATGTGAGGTTCCTGGCCATGCCTCCAACTCCACCTTTGAGACAATCTCCTCCTTCCCTCAGAAACGGTGAGATTCCCACCCACCCTCCCTCCCTTTGCTCTCCCATAGGTTCCCACGTGATCCCTCATCACAGACACCACATGACAATCTTCTCCACACATTCCACGTGACACTCCCTTTATGCAGCTTCTGTCCTGGCCCCCGCACAGCTGACTCTGGGTCCTAGAACATGCCCCTCGCCATGCCTCTTGCCATGCTTCTTTTGCTGTCAGCGAATCTCGTGCTCCTCTGCCAGGAAGATGCCTCGTCGGAGTTGTCCTTCATTTCCCAAACTGCATGCACCGCAGCTATCCTTTGCCTCCTTGACAAGTCCAGGTCTTCTGAGACCTTAGTCCTCAGCCGCCCCGAGCCAGTGGTTTCTTACCTTCTCAGACTCCGGCAGTTCCACCGCGTCTGAGGTGAACTCCAAGCCCAGGCCTCTAAGCCGCAGGCCCCACTCTCTCCTCCCTCCCCAGCGATTGCCGGCCTCCGCTCGCATCTTCCTCCATCTCGAATCGCCTCCCGGTGCTGCCGGAACCGGATATTGGGACGCTGTCATTAGCACCTCCTGCAGGGGGCGGGGATGGGCAGTGAACTATTCTGCCAATGGCATTTGAGCCTTTGAGCCTCACTCAAGAGCAAGGGTGGGCGGTCCTGGTGGTCATCTTGGATTTGGGCATTAGCCACGCCTTCTTTAGCTTCGCCATGCCCTCAGCCTTAGAGCATGCGCGTGGCCGGCTTGGCCGCCTTCTATTATTCGAGGAAATTGAGTCACCCGGCGCTTCTCGAAGATCCAGTTGTAAATGGGTCACCTTGTGTTTTGTGATCTATTGGAATCTTTCTGTTCCTATCTAATCGGTGATTTTTATGTAACTTTTCTCATTATTTATAGAGCCAAAATAGTAGGGGCCAAAGTGCAGCAGGAAGGACTGAAGTTAGGTAACCAATTTTGAGATGTGAGAACTCAAAAAATTGCAGGAATGGGGAATATCCTGGTGGTGGAGAAAAAATTACGTTAAGGCTCTGAAACTTCCAGCCCTGAAACTATTTGCCCATAAATACACATACATACTTAAGAGGAGGAGCTCTTTAAATGACCTGGGAGGCCTTAAGTGGAGAATCAATTAATTTCAAAATTGGCATCTCTACAACTCAACAACAAAAAGACAAACAACCTTATTTAATTAATTAATTAATTAATTTTTTCATGTCAGACGGGTAGTGTGCCGACGTCATAACAAGGTGTGATGGAGGCATATCACACGCATGCGCATGAAAACCCAATCGTCACGCTTAGGAACTACAAAAGGATCAAACAACCCTATTTCAAAATGAGCAAAGGTAGGCTTCTATAACTTGGACCAGGAAAAAAATTTTTTAAAATTTTTAAATTAAAACAAATGGGCCAGGCGCGGTGGCTCATGCCTGTAATCCTAGCTCTCTGGGAGGCCGAAGAGGGCGGATCCTTTAAGCTCAGGAGTTCGAAACCAACCTGGGCAAGAGCGAGACCTCGTCTCTACTATAAACAGAAAGAAATTAATTGGCCAACTAACATATATATAGAAAAAATTAGCCGGGCATGGTGGCGCATGCCTGTAGTCCCAGCTACTCGGGAGGCTGAGGCATAATTGCTTGAGCCCAGGAGTTTGAGGTTGCTGTGAGCTAGGCTGACGCCACAGCACTCACTCTAGCCTGGACAACAAAGCGAGACTCTGTCTCAAAAAAAAAAAAAAAAAAAAAGATCAAAAGACTTGAATAGACATTTCTGTAAAGGATACAAACATGTGGCCAATAAACACATAAAAATATACACAACATCATCAGTCTTTAGGGAAATGCAAATCAAAACCAAGTCGATGTGATACCACTTCACACCCACTAGGATGGCTAAAATTAAAACAAACAAAAAACAGAAAAATAACAAGCATTGGTAAGGATGTGGAGAAATTCAAGCCTTTAAACATTGCTGGTAGGAATGTAAAATAGTGCAGCTGCAGTGGAAAACAGTTTGGCAGTGCTTCAGTCAACTAAGCATAAAATTAGCATATGACCCAGAAGTTTCACTCCTGAGAATATATCCAAAAGAATTGAAAACAAACAAACAAAACCTTGGGCCAGGCATGGTGGCTGACACCTGTAATCCTAGCACTCTGGGAGGCCAAGGTGGGAGGATCACTTGAGCTCAGGAGTTTGAAACCAGCCTGAGCAAGAGTGAGACCCCTGTCTCTACTAAAAATAGTAAAACATTAGCCAGGCGTGGTGGCACTCGCCTGCAGTCTCAGCTACCTAGGAGGCTGAGGCAGGAGGATCATTTGAGCCCAGGAGTTTGAGGTTGCTGCCAGCTAGGCTGACGCCCATAGCACACTAGCCTGGGCAACAGGGTGGGACTCTTGTCTCGAAAAAAACACAAAAAACAAACAAAACTTTGTATGCAAATGTTTGTAGCAGCACTATTCACAATAGCCAAAAATAGAAACAACTGAAATGTCCATCAACTCATGAATGGATAAACAAAATGTATATCCACACAATGGAAGATTATTCATCGATAAAAAGGAATGAAGTATTGATACATGCTACAACATAGATGACCGTTGAAACCGTTATGCTAAGTGAAATAAGCCAGATATAAAGGCCACATATATGTAAAAAAATAAAATAAAATAAAATAAAGGCCACATATTATGCAATCCTATATATATGAAATATCCAGAATAGACAAATCTATAGAGACAGAAAGCAGATTAGTAGATAAGAGGTTGCTGGGGAGGGACAATGACTGATTGATAGGTACCGAGTTTCTTCTTGGGCTGATGAAAATGTTCTGGAGCTAAATAGTGATGATTGTTTTATAATATTGTGAATATAGTAAATGTCACTAATAGTAGTACATTTTATGTCATGTGTATTTTATTTTGTTTTATTTTTTTTAGAGACAGGGTCTCACTCTATGGCCCAGGCTAGGTTGCAGTGGTGCAATCATAGCCACAGCAACCTCAAATTCCTGGGCTCAAGTGATCCTCAGGACTCAGCCTCCCAAAGCACTAGGATTATAGGTGTGAGCCACTGCATCCAGCTGTAACATGTATTTTACTATAGTTTAAAAAAATCAGTTATTTCTAGGATGGATTTCTCCTTTTGAACTCCAGACTGGTTGCCAACTTCCTCAAAATATCTAATGGATATTTCAATCTTAGTATCCTGGTTAGTTTTCCATCAGATTGCCTAGGCCATACAGTTAATTCAATCAAACACTAATCTAGATGTTGCTCTGAAGGTATTTTGTAGGTGGGGTTTACATTTATCTACAGCAGTTGACTGTAAGTAAAGGAGACTCAATAATGTGGGTGGCCCTCATCTAACCATTTGAAAGGCCTTAAGAGCAAAAGTGGGCATGGTGTTGTGGCTCACACATGTTATCTTAGTATTCTGGGAGGCCAAGGCAGGAGGATTGCTTGAGCTCAGGAGTTTGAAAGCAGCCTGAGCAAGAGTGAGACCTCATCTTTACTAAAAATAATTGTTTAAAAAATAATTAGGAAAAAAGAGCAAAACTGAGATTTCCCGGGCCAGCATGGTGGCTCACGCCTGTAATCCTAGCACTCTGGGAGGCCAAGGCGGGTGGATCATTTAAGCTCAGGAGTTCAAGACCAGCCTGAGCAAGAATGAGACCCCGTCTCTACTAAAAATAGAAAGGAAATTAGCTGGACAACTAAAAATATATATATAGAAAAACTTAGCTGGGCTTGGTCCTGCATGCCTATAGTCCCAGCTACTCAGGGGGCTGAGGCAGAAGGATTGCTTGAGCCCAGGAGTTTGAGGTTGCTGTGAGCTAGGCTGATCCCATGACACTCTAGCCCCAGCAACAGAGTGAGACTCTGTCTCAAAAAAAAAAAACATAAAAAACCTGGGATTTCCCTGAGGAAAAAGTTCTGCCTCAAGACTGAAATATCCGCTCCTGCCCCCCAAAGTTCCCAGCTGCAGGCCTGCCCTACAGATTTGAGACTTGCCAGCCACTTCAATCACATAACCAATCTCCTACTGGTTCCATTTCTTTGGAGAATCTGAGCTGACACTTAGCATGAACAGAATTCCTGTTCTACAACAAAATCTGACTTCCCTGCTGTTTTCCTCAATAGTCAATCCTTGACGGTTCCCTTTTTCTCACACCACATGCAATGTATCATCAAATACTATTGGCTTTATCTTAAAAATATGTCCAGAGCTCAATCAATTAATTCTCACCTCTTCATACTAGCACCTTGGTCCCAGCCACCATCACCTCTCACCTTGATTTTTTCGGAGCCTTCCTGGCTGGTCTCTCTGCTTCCACTGGAGTTTCTGTGACCATCAGTTCTCAATAAAGCAACCAGAGTGATCCTTTTAAACTGTAAATCAGATTATATCACTTTTCTGTTCAAAATCCTCCAATGGCTCTCTATTTTATTCAAAATAAAAGCCAAAATCTTTACAATGGGCTACAGTGTTCTAAGATCTGCCCACAGGCACACCCAGTACTATCTCTCTCATTCTATCTACTACTCTCCCTGCTGCCTCAGGGGCTTTGCATTGGCTGCTGTTTATGTCTGGAAGCTCTCACCACCCCGCTTCCACATGGTCCATGCTCTCATTCACTTCATTGTCATCCTTCAAACTTCACCTACCCAGAATCCTTTATTTAAATCGTAGATACCCTTGGGCCAGGCTCATTCACGCCTGTAATCCTAGCACTCCGGGAGGCCGAGGTGGGAAGATTGCTTGAGCCCAGGAGTTTGAGACCAGCCTGAGCAAGAGCAAAACCCCGACTCTATTATAAATAGAAAGAAATTAGCCAAACAACTAAAAAAAAAAAAAATTTAAAAAATAAATTGTAGGCCGGGCGCTGTGGCTCACGCCTGTAATCCTAGCTCTTGGGAGGCCGAGGCGGGCGGATTGCTCAAGGTCAGGAGTTCGAAACCAGCCTGAGCAAGAGCGAGACCCCGTCTCTACTATAAATAGAAAGAAATTAATTGGCCAACCGATATATATATATAAAATTAGCCGGGCATGGTGGCGCATGCCTGTAGTCCCAGCTACCCGGGAGGCTGAGGCAGAAGGATCACTCGAGCCCAGGAGTTTGAGGTTGCTGTGAGCTAGGCTAACGCCACGGCACTCACTCTAGCCTGGGCAACAAAGCGAGACTCTGTCTCAAATAAAAAAATAAATAAATAAATAAATAAATTGTAGACATCCTTCCCACTCCCAACCTTCTTTCCCCACTTCCATTTCTTCCTCCGTAGTACATCGCCGCCATCTAATGTTATCTACCTATTTTACTTATTTGTACAGTTGATCCTTGAACAACACAAGTTTGACTTATGTGCAGATTTTTTCCACTTCTGACACCCCTAAGATAGCAAAACCCACCCTTCCTCTTCCTCAACCTCCTCTACATGAAGAAGGATGAGGATGAAGAGCTTTATGATGATCGATTTCCACTTAATGAATAGTAAATATATTTTCTCTTCTTTATGATTGCCTTAATAACACTTTTTTTCTCTAGCTTACTTTTTTTTTTTGAGACAGTCTTGCTTTGTTGCCCAGTCTAGAGTGAGTGCTATGGCATCAGCCTACCTCACAGCAACCTCAAACTCCCAGGCTTAAGTGATCCTTCTGCCTCAGCCTACCGAGTAGCTAGGACTACAGGCATGCGCCACCATGCCTGGCTAATTTTTTCTATATATATTAGATGGCCAATTAATTTCTTTCTCTTTATAGTAGAGATGGGGTCTCGCTCTTGCTCAGGCTGGTTTCCAACTCCTGACCTGGAGCAATCCGCCCGCCTCAGCCTCTCAGAGTGCTAGGATTACAGGCGTGAGCCACTGCGTCCAGCCTACATACTGTATTCTTAAAAGTAAGCTAAAGGCCGGGCACGGTGGCTCACGCCTGTAATCCTAGCACTCTGGGAGGCCGAGGTGGGCGGATTGCTTGACGTCAGGAGTTTGAAGAGCGAGACCCCGTCTCTACTATAAATAGAAAGTAATTAATTGGCCAACTAATATATATAGAAAAAATTAGCCAGGCATGGTGGCATGCCTGTAGTCCCAGCTACTCGGGAGGCTGAGGCAGTAGGATTGCTTGAGCCTAGGATTGCAAGCAACCTCAATTGCTTGAGGTTGCTGTGAGCTGATGCCATGGCACTCACTCTAGCCTGGGCAACAAAGTGTGACTCTGTCTCGAAAAAAAAAAAAGAGAGAGAGAGAGAGAGATGGGAGTGGAAACAATAACCATGGAAGACATTGTCCAAGGAGAATTTTTTTTTTTTTTTGAGACAGAGTGTCTCACTGTATTGCCCGGGCTAGAGTGCCCTGGAATCAGCCTAGCTCACAGCAACTTCAAACTCCTGAGCTCCAGCAATCCTCCTGCCTCAGCCTCCCGAGTAGCTGGGACTACAGGTATGTGCCACCATGTCCGGCTAATTTTTTTATATTTTTAGTTGTTTGGCTAATTTCTTTCTATTAATAGTAGAGACGGGTCTCCCTCTTGCTCAGGTTGGTCTCGAACTCCTGAGCTCAAGCAATCCTCCCGCCTCAGCCTCCCAGAGTGCTAGGATTACAGGCTTGAACCACAGTGCCTGGCCCCAAGGAGAATTTTAAAGGGAAATAAGAGAAAGAGGAACACTTGAAAGAAACCAAGAAGCAGTGGCTAGAGGGGTAGGAAGGTACTAGAGGACAAAAGATAAGCGTTATAGGGTATTGTCACCACAGAGAGAATTCCTAAAACTCAGCATCAGAAAAGAACCTGATTCAAAAATAGACACAGAAAAAAAAATAGACACAGTACTTGAATAGACATCTATTCAAAGAAGATACACAAGTGGCTAATAAGCACATGAAAAGATGCTTAACATTACTAATCATCAGGGAAATGCAAATCAAAACTTCAATGAGATACCACCTCCTACCTATTAGGATGGCTACTATCGAAAAACCCAGAAAATAACAAGTTTTGGCGAGGATGTGGAGAAATTGGAACCCTTGCACACTGTTGGTGGAAATGTCAAACGCAGCAGCCGCTATGGAAAACATTATAGCAATTCCTCAAAATTACCATATGATCCAGCAATTCCATTTCTGGATATATACTCAAAAGAATGGAAAGTGAAGTCTTGAAGAGCTATTTATACACACGTGTTCATAGCAGCACCATTCACAATCACTAAAACATGGAAGCAACCCAAGTGTTCATTGACAGATGAACAGAAAAGCAAAATGTGATATATACATACCAGAGTGATGTTGGGGGTGGGGAGGAAAGGGCTATGGTTTGAGGAGCCTCTGGGTCACCTGGGTAAAGATATCTAGCAGGCTTGTCCTCATACTGGCTGGCGCTTGGGGGACAGCTCAGCATTGGAGCTATATATTTAGCAGTGGGGGATCCATAATGCTTTAGAGCAGGAAGATCTTCCTGTTCACTCCTTTCCTCCAAGAGGTAAAGAAATTGACAGAATACCAAATGATTACCAGGTGAATAAAAGAAGAAAGAGGAAAAAAAAAGAAGAAATTGACAGCAGATGAAGGTCCCAGGAGGGCACTGGTCCAGTGCCCTCTCCACTGTCCCCTGCTGCCCCACAGCCTGGCCTAGAGATCATCAGGGGAGCAAGAGAGGAAGTCTGAAAAGGGTGCTTGGAGTGCTGAAACCTGGGCCTGGGGGTAAAAGCACATTGGAGTGTGGGAGGAAGAAAAGGAGCCAGCAGGGAAGAAATAAATAACTAGAGAAGCCAAATCATTCCAATAAAAAAACCATAGTAGGCCTGGCAGGGTGGCTCATGCCTGTAATCCTAGCACTCTGGGAGGCTTAGGTGGGCAGATCACTCAAGGTCAGGAGTTCGAAACCAACCTGAGCAAGGGCGAGACTATCTCTACTATAAATAGAAAGAAATTAATTGGCCAACTAAAAATATGTAGAAAAAATTAGCTGGGCATGGTGGCGCATGCCTGTAGTCCCAGGTACTGGGGAGGCTGAGGCAGAAGGATTGCTTGAGCGCAGGAGTTGCTGTGAGCTAGGCTGATGCTGTGGCACTCTAGCCAGGGCAACAGAGTGACACTCTGTCTCAAAAAAATAAATAAATAAAGACCAGCCTGAGCAAGACAGAGACCCCATCTCTATAAAAAATAGAAAAACTGGCCAGGCAGGGTGGCTTGTGCCTATAGTCCCAGCTACTTGGGAGACTGAGGCAGGAGGATCCCTTGTTTTGCAGGTTTCAGTGAGCTATGATGCCACTGCACTCTAGCCCAGGTGACAGAGTGAGACCCAGTCTCAAAAAAAAAAAAAAAAAAAAAAACCATAGTAGACATAAACAGAATTGTTTTTTAATTTTTTTTTGAGACAGAGTCTCACTGTCTTGCCCAGGTTGCAGTGCAGTGGCTATACATAAGCATGATCATAGCAAACTATAATCTCAGACTTCTGGGCTCAAGCAATCCTCTTGTCTCAGGCTCCCAAGTGGCTGGGACTATAGGCGCATGCCACTGTGCCCATTAGTAGACAGGATCTTGAAGAGATATTTGCGTACTCATGTTCATTGCAGTATTATTCACAATAGCCAAGAGATAGAAGCACCCAAATATGCATTGATGGATGAGTGGATAAAGAAAATGTGAGATATATGTATATATAATGGAATGTTATTCAGCATTAAAAAAGAAAGGAATCCTATCACCTGCTACAACATGGATAAACATTATGGAGGACATTGTGCTAAGAGAAATAAGCCAGTCACAAAAGGACAAATACTGTATAGGATATCTAGAGAGCTCAAAATCATGGAAACACTAGCACTCTGGAAGGCGAGGCGGATGGATTGCTCGAGGTCAGGAGTTCGAATGCAGCCTGAGCAAGAGTGAGACCCTGTCTCTACTATAAATAGAAAGAAATTAATTAGCCAACTAATATATAGAGAAAAAATTAGCGGGGCATGGTGGCGCATGCCTGTAGTCCCAGCTATTCAGGAGGCTGAGGCAGGAGGATTGCTTGAGCCCAGGAGATTGAGGTTGCTGTGAGCTATGCTGACGCCAAGGCACTCACTCTAGCCTGGGCAACAAAGTGAGACGTGAGACTCTGCTCAAAAAAAAAATAATAAAAAATCATGGAAACAGAAAGTATATTAGAATGGTAGTTGCCAGGGGCTGGGAGAGGAGCAATGGAGAGTTGCTCTTCGATAGGTATAGAGTTTCAGTTCAGTTTTGCAAGATGAAAAAGTTCTAGAGATCCATTACACAACGATGTGAATATAGTTAATACTACTGAACTGTACACTTAAAATGGCTAAGAGGGTAACGTTTACAGTATTTGTTTTTTACCAAAATTAAAAAATTTTTAAAAAATAACCCATAATAGAAAAGACTTGTGGGAACAGGATGGCCAAGGTATGAAGGCTACACAGAGGTCAAGGTCAAGTTTGACAGTTAGGGGCTTATGGGTAGTCTTGGAGAGACTCCTGTGAGCAGAAAGGTGGGGAAAGAAGCCAGCCCACAGGGGATTAAAGCGAGCTGGGGCAACTCTGGGGGGCGATGGGGGCAGCCAGAATGGACCCTCTCTGGTGAGAGAGACTGAGTGGGCAAGGTGAATGGTAGGGTTGTAGGAAGGGTTGTTGTTTTGCTTTTTCACAGACAGAACACCTGAGTACACCTGTAGGTGGGAGAGGGAGGGGGTAAAGTGAGGGAGGGAACGCTGGGGGCAGATAATTTATAGAACAAATTCGAGCAGAGATAGAGAGGAGGGTGCAATGCACTGGTTGGCCTCGGTTGGAAGAGGGACATGTGCCTTCGTGACAGGGGAGAGGAGGAAGGTGGAGTAGAGGTGTGGACAGCGTGTTATTTGTCAGATATTGGAAAGGATGTGGCCAAGATGGGGGTGGCTGCACGGTCTTTCTATAAATTCATCTACCAAGAGTTGAAGCCAACTGCTGCAGTGGGGAAGGGGGCTGAGCTGGAGTCACGAGAAGTGTGGGAGAGCTGGGGACAGCAGCTGTGGGGGCTGCAGTAGGGGAGTCCGTGATGCATGAGGTGCCGCCTGTCTAGCAGACACAGTTGAGGCTGGCCAACACCGGCCTGTGGTTGGCCCAGTGGGGGAAATTTGAGGCACTCTCTAGCAATGCTTGGCGTGCAGGGAAGGGCTGCGGGGCTGCCTGGCTCTGGGTGGGGAGCTGGCAGGGCAGAGGAGATAGTCTGGAGTTGGCGAGGACAATCACCCACAAACCAAATCTTCTTCGATGCTCTCCAACTGCTTACCCCCTTCACATCCTGGCAGAGTGCTCCAGCAAAAACAGCACCAGACATAAGTTTTGTCTTTTTAATAAAAAATAAACCGTCTGTGACAAGCAGTTTTCTGAATCTCAAAACAAAGGGAAGGGGAGAGGACAGAGGTCAAGGGGTAGCCAGGGGAAACAAATGAATGAGGCTCAGATTACCCCTGCCATTCTAGCCAGAGCAGAAAGGATCCCAATCTGCCCCAGCTGAAGCAAGAAGGAAGGTGGTCAGACTTCAGGAAAGACTTCCTGGGAGTCTGCAATGCATGACTGGTAAGGGGAGCAGGAGGGAGCAGATCCCTGAAGAACCCTAGAAATCCCTGGGAGAGGCGAGTGTCCAAGGTGGTGGCTTCCAATTGGCGTGTCCAGGAGTGGCAAGTTAGCTTACGGTTGTTTAGATGTTTGGTGTCTAGGGTCCTGGAACAGTTAGGTTTTTTTAGGGTCTCCTGGAACAGTATGTTTATATAGGGTCCCTGGAATGGCCAGAACTAAAGGATTTTCCCCAGGTCCTCCTAGGGCAGAGGAGGTACAGTTCTGGGGTAGCCCCTGTAGAGAGCCATGTGCTTGCTAGAAGGGAGTCCCACAGGGAGGCGGGCTGCTGTGGTGCCCCTGCTGAGTGCTACCAGTGGTGCAGAGTGGCAGGAGAAGCTCCTCTCATGGAAGAAAGGTGGTCTTTTGTGCTACTCCCACCCTGGTCAGGGCTGCACTGCTCCGGGGGCCCTCAGCCAGCATGGCCGGGTGCCAGCCCTACCCTGCAGCCCCAGTCTGTGCCCAGGGTTTAAACCACCTCAGTACCCAGGCAGTTGTTGTCAGCGTCCACGTCACTGGCAGAGGTCCTGTGTTCCTTGGCTGGCTGGAGGTGCTGCTCCCTGCTCAACGGGGCCTTCTCCCTAGGGGGCAGGGTCCCACAGCCCTGGACCTTGCCCCGAGCCCGGAGTGCCCCCAGCGGGGAGACCAGGAGGATGATGAGGGCTCCTGAAAGCACTAAGGCGAGGAGGACAGTGACCGTGAGAAAGTGGGGCCAATAGGACCGCTGGGCAGCCAGAGCAGTCCCACCACTGACCCTGGTCAGAGGGACCTCCACATGCTCCCGGGGAATGCCTGCCAGTTCAGGATCCAGGGCCAGGCTCCGGTCCTGGCTGTCCACCCAGTAGGAGACCACAGGGTGTGAGAAGCCATTCTCAGTGGCCCAGCACTGATAGAGACCCCCAACTCCATCCTGCAGTATCAGCAAGAGGGAGCCATTGTAGACCGTGGAAGAGGCTTCTGGGGCTGGGGCTGTGCCACGACTCCAGTGGTAAGAGGCCAGGGCTGATTGGTGGGGACAGGGGAGCTCCAGGATGGAGCTGGGGACAGCCAGGACTTCTTTAACTGTAGGAGAAGGAAAGGGGCAAAATGGTTAAGGGAGGGGAAAGAAGAAAGACAGGAGAGAGTCGCTAAGCCACTTTTAGACCCCAACTCTTACCTCCAACTTCCATTTCAACTCCCAAATTCAACAACTCCCACTGCTCTGAATCTCCAGTCCAGACCCGAGGCTAACCCCCAAGTCCATCGAACTCCAACTTTGATGCCAAAACCAATTGAAACCTCAAACCTGAATCCCAGCTTGGCCCCCAGCTCAGAATTCCTATCTCTCCTCCCTACAGCCAGGACTGGACCCAAATCCAACCCAATTCTATAGTTCAGATCTCAAGCCAGGCAGGTGCTAGGGGAGGACCCAAAGCAGGAATGCCCACCCCTGCCCAGAAGTCCTGCAGAGCCTTCGTGCCTCCCCTGGTTCCACACTCACTGATTTGCGGGCGGCTCTGAGGCCGGAGGCTCCTGCCAATGGGGCCATTGGCACATGCCCAGCCTGGGTTCCCTTGCTCCATGTCCTGCTTCCAGGAGTTCCTGAGAGGGCAGGAAAGCAAAAATCATCCCTTGAAACAGCCTGAAAGTGGGAGGAAGGGAGGGAAGTGCAGTGGGGAAGACGGCCCCAGGTAGAAGAGGTGGAAGAGAGAGGAGAGGAAGAGGAACCCAGCATGGCAGGAGCAGCTTCAAAACTGCCAAGCAACAGTCCATCCCTGGAGGAACCCCCATGGGACAGGTGGACCCTTAGAGTAAATGTATCGGTAGCCCCTGCAGAGAGGAAGAACAGTAGCAGAGGCTCAGTAAGAAGGGTCCTGGCAGGCCATCCTTAGCCGCCATCCAGGAATGGCACTCACAGGTTGGGGGAAGACAGGAGGCGACAGATTTGGGACTGAGGATCCCAGGCGCAGTGGGGGTCCCGGGCAAGGACGCAGTCCACACAGCTCTCATAGACACTACAGTTGGCTCGGGGCACCCTCCAGACGCCTCCTGAGAAGCCTACAAACACTGCGCCCTGGAAGAGAAATGGGGAGTGTCAGGGAGCCCCAGCCACAGCTGGTAAAGTCCTGGCCCAGGGAGCCAGCCCAACCTGCCCCTAAGGCCAGCCCCACCAGAAGGCCATTTGATGGTTGAGTCCCTTCCCACCTGGGTGGGGGCCAGCAGCAGGTTGCGGACAGGTTCAGGGTCAGGGAACAGCTGGATCTCTTCCACCAGATGAGCACTGCTGTCCCCGCTCACCACAGCCTTGTGAAGGGACCCTGTGGCTGTGGGCAGATGGAGAGAGCTGAAGTCATCTCACCTCATCCACACAGCCCTCTCTGACCCAGGCGGTCTCCCCAGCTGTCCGAAGGCTCCTTCTGAAGTGTCACGTGCACTGGGCACAGGCCACAGGCCAGCCAGACCACTCCATTCCCCTTGTGCCGTGGGGTTCTCTCGCAAGTGGCTCGGCCCCGACCTCCCTTTGCATCCCTGGAGAAACCCAACTGTCTACGTCCTACAGGCACGGGGCAGCGGGCACCTGAGCGTTTCTGTAGAAAGTCACGCCACCAGCCTCCCTCACTTCTACCAAGTGTCTCTACTCAAAGCCTTTTAAAAATTGCAGCCTCCCCAGCTGGCTTCCTGATTCTCCCGCACACGGCTGTACTTGACTTCCAAATCTCATAACGTACCGTGCATTTACGTATTCGGTATGCTCATTGTCTGTGTTCACCCACTCCGCCAGGACTGTGATTTGTGTGTGTGTTGTTCTCTACTATATACCCAACGTATGCACAGCTGGTAACAGTGCCTAGTAACACGGCCTGAAGGAATGAATGGACTTGGCGGGTTTCTTCCATTAAAGCTCAAGGTCATCCACCTCAGCCAGGCCTCGATATGCTTGGCACTTGTCGCATTCCCCCCTCTCTCTCACTCTTTCCACAATGACCATTTGAATCTACCCCTCTCTCCTCAAACTTCCCACCTTTCCCGCCCCCCTCACTCCCAGCTCGTGACCTTGTGTCCTCCTGCTTCCCAGACAGAAGACCTCCCTTGGCTTCCTGCCCAGAGTCGACACACTCACCAGGTCTCGCCCTGTACAACTTCACTCCCACCCGTCAGAGGCCTCCGCCTTCCATGCTAATCGCTCCTCCTCAGCAACCCCAGCCTCCTGGTCCCTCCACAACTTTACCTGCTCATTTTCCCCTCTCCTGCCCACCTCTTCCCCATCTCCCTGTCTACGAGGTCCTCACAGTCTGTCCCATCTATAAAACAAGAGCCCTTGCCAGGCCCTACACCCCTCTCCACCCACCCCCCAATCCCCTCTCCCCTTTCACAGCCAAGCTTTCTGAAGGAGTGATGTCTACACTTGCTGTTTCCAACTCCCTGTCTACCCACTCGCCTTTCAACCCTCTAACGTGGCTCCCCCATAAGGTAAGCAGCTCTTGCTAAGGCCACCAAAGACCTCCCTGTCTGTCTTCCCCACCAGACAAAGCTTGGAAAGGATAGGGACTGGACTGTTTTGCTCCCCTGCTGTATTTTCAGAGCCTACCAGAGTGCCAGGTACATAGTAGGTGCTCAATAAACAGTTGTTGCATGAATGATTGATTGAATGAGCTCAAGGATTACCCTCCTCAACTTGAGTGCAGTCCCTGCCCTAGTCCTCAGAGGATGTCCTGGAACCCTTTACTCACTGGTACCCAGGTACATGACCAGATGGCTGCGCCCATCAAGGGCCTGGGCTGTCTCCACCGCAAGCTGTGTGTACTCCACACCAGATTTCACCAGCAGGGGTGTCCCCACCACCTGTTCATCCATCAGGAAGTGGTCCTTCATGAAGGTCAAGGCCTTATCAGAGGAGGGGCCCACCGAGCACTGAGGGAGGAAGGAGACAGATCAGGGTGGCTTGCCCCTTCCCTTGCACTCAACCACCGCCGCTTCCTTCCCCCTGCCTTCCCGCTCCTTAGCAGTCCTCCATTGCAGGGTGCTGGCTAAAGCTCAGACTCCAGAGCTGCCTGGCTTTGAAGTCCAGGCTCTGCATGCCTGAAGTTCCTCACCTGTGAAGTGGGCATATTACCGATACCTACCTCATAGGCTCACCGTGAAAATAAAATGCACTAATATGTGAAAAATAACCAGGACAGTGCTTGGCATGAAGTGAGTACTCAGTAGAAGTACTGTTATTACTGCCCTCCTCCTCAGCACCTCCATCACGGGTGCCTAGCAGCCGGCAGGAAGCAGGGTGAAGCCTCCTCGCAGGCAAGGACCAAGATTTACTCACTTCTGTAGTCCCAGGCAGAGCGCAGGACCTGGCACACAGTTGGTGCTCAATAAATGTTTGCTTAGTCATGACTGAATGAGTGTCACAGCAAAGGGTGGTATAGCAGGGAGTGTTTCTTATCAAAGTTTTTGTTTTGAGACAGAGTCTCACTTTGTTGCCCAGGCTAGAGTGAGTGCCGTGGCGTCAGCCTGGCTCACAGCAACCTCAAACTCCTGGGCTCAAGCAATCCTCCTGCCTCAGCCTCCCCAGTAGCTGGGACTACATGCATGCGCCACCATGCCTGGCTAATTTTTTCTATATATATCAGATGGCCAATTAATTTCTTTCTATTTTTATAGTAGAGACGGGGTCTCACTCTTGCTCAGGGTGGTTTCGAACTCCTGACCTCGAGTGATCCGCCCGCCTCAGCCTCCCAAAGTGCTGGGAGGCTGAGGCGGGCGGCGTGAGCCACCGCGCCCGGCTTATTTGTTTGTTTTTTGAGACAGAGTCTCGCTTTGTTGCTCAGGCTAGAGTGAGTGCCGTGGTGTCAGCCTAGCTCACAGCAACCTCAAACTCCTGGGTTCAATCCTTCTGATTCAGCCTCCCGAGTAGCTGGGACTACAGGCATGCACCACCATGCCCGGCTAATTTTTTCTGTATATAATAGTTGGCCAATTAATTTCTTTCTATTTATAGTAGAGATGGGGTCTTGCTCTTGCTCAGGCTGGTTTCAAACTCCTGACCTTAAGCTATCTGCCCGCCTTGGCCTCCCAGAGTGCTAGGATTACAGGTGTGACCCACTGCGCCGGGCCTAAAATATTTATGTAAAATATTTACGTGTGATATAATGAGTTGAGAAGATAATGTCTATTCAGAACCTGTGAATGTGACTTTATTTGGAAAAAGGTCTTTGCAGATGTAATGAAATTAAAGATCTCAAGATGAGATCATTCTGGATTAGTATGAGCCCTAAATCCAATGACAAGTATCCTTTTAAGAGGAGAGGAGATATACAGAGGAGAAGGGGAAGTAACAACAGGCAGAGATTGGGATGATGTGTCTACAACCCAAGGAACAATAAGGATTGTTGGTAGCCACCAGAGAGCAGGAAAAAGACATAGAATGATTCTCCATCAGCGCCTATATAAGGAACCAATCCTGCTGACACATTGATTTCAAACTCTGGGCATGCAGAACTGTGAGAATAAATTTCTGTTATTTTTAGCCACCAAGATTGTGGTAATTTGCCATAGACACCATAGGAAACTAGTAACAGATGAAATGATATGATTTCCAGAATTTGTTTCAAAATAATAACAGGCACCAGGTATGGTGGCTCATACCTGTAATCTTACACTTTGGGAGGCCCAGGTGGGAGGACTGCTTGAGGCAAGCAGTTCAAGACCAGCTTGGGCAACACAGGGAGACCCCATTTCTACAAAAAATTGAAAAATTAGCAGGATGTGGTGACACACACTTGTAATCCCAGCTACTCGAGAGCCTGAGGCAGGAGAATCAATTCAGCCCAGGAATTTGAGGTTACAGGGAGCTGTGATTGCTTCATTCCACTCCAGCCTGGGCAACAGAGCAAGATCCTATCTCATAAAAAAAATAATAATAAGGGAGGAAGTGGGTGGGGTATAGCTGATTGATTGATTGATTGGCTGTAAGTTGAAGCTGGTCAATAGAAAGTCCACTGTACTATTCTTTTTTTATTTTTTTTTGAAACAAGATCTCTCTCTCTCTGTTGCCCAGGCTAGAGTGCCATGGCATCAGCCTAGCTCACAGCAACCTCAAACTCCTGGACTCAAGGGATCCTCTCGGTTCAGTCTCCCCTGTACATGGGGACTACAGGTGTGTACCACCATGCCTAGTTAATTTTTCTATTTTTAGTAGAGACAAGGTCTTGCTTTCTCTCAGGCTGGCCTCAAACTTCTGACCTCAAGCAATCCTCCTGCCTCAGTCTTCCAGAGTGCTAGCACTATACTATTCTATCTACTTTTTATGTGTTTGAAATTGTCTATAATGAAATATTTTTATAAAAAGGATATTCGAGGCTCAAAAAAATCCAAGAAATTAAACATTTCAGCAGAAATGAAAAATTTGATAGAATGATTGGAAGACTCAAGTTGACCGATGAGGAACAATACTATTAAATAAAGAAAAAAAAGAAGGTTCAGAAGACACAGTTAAGATACTCTTCCAGAAAGTAGAACAAAGCCAAAGACTTGGAAAACAGAAAAGGTTCTAAAGAGTTAGAGGACAAGTCTAGGAGTTTCAGAAAGAAGAGACAAAACACTCCGTTAAAATGTAAGCTCTGCAGTGGTGTTTACAACTAATTGATCATAACCAGTTAGACAGATTCCTTTGTTCCTTCTCCACTCCCACTGCTTCACTTGACCAGCTTTAAAAACAAAAAAGAAAAAAGAAAAAAAAGAAAAGAAAATGTAAGCTCCATGAGGAAAGGACTTGAGTTTGTTTTGCTCAGTGCTGTATCCCAAGTGCCTTTTTTTTTTTTTTTTTTTTTTTTTGAGACAGAGTCTTGCTTTGTTGCCCAGGCTAGACGTGGCGTCAGCCTAGCTCACAGCAACCTCAAACTCCTGGGCTCGAGCGATCCTTCTGCCTCAGCCTCCCGAGTAGCTGGGACTACAGGCATGCGCCACCATGCCCGGCTAATTTTTTATATATATATATATCAGTTGGCCAATTAATTTCTTTCTATTTATAGTAGAGACGGGGTCTCGCTCTTGCTCAGGCTGGTTTTGAACTCCTGACCTTGAGCAATCCGCCCGCCTCGGCCTCCCAAGAGCTAGGATTACAGGCGTGAGCCACCGCGCCCGGCCCCAAGTGCCTTTAATAGCACATATCCTCAATAAATATTTGTCAAATGAAAAGGAAATAGGACGAAACAGTTCAAGAAAACTTCTCGAAACTAAAGGAACTAAATTTCCAGGCTGAAGTGGCCCACTGAGTGTCCAGCACAATAAATGAACAGAATACCATCGAAGCACAACACCATGAAATTTCAAAACACCAGGGACAAAGAAAAGGCACTATAAGATTCCAGCGAGAACAAAACAGGTTACACTGGGAGGGTTAGGGATTGGAATAGCTTTAGACTTCTCAAAAGCAGCACTGGAAGCTAGAAGAGAATAGAGCAAGGCCTTCAAAGTTTGAAGGCAAATTATTTCTATTCTAGAATTACATATACCCAGCCAAACTATCAAATGTGAAAGTAGAATGAAGACATTTTCAGACATTCAAGGTCTCAAAAAATTTTACCTGCATGTATCCTTTTCCAGGAATCTATGGAGGACAACCTCCACTACAATGAGATAGTTTAAAAAAAAAAAAAAAAAAAAGAGGAAGCCATGGGATGCAAGAAACACGAGATCTGTCACAGGAAAGAAGCAAAGGAAATCCCCCAGATGATGAAAAAGGGAGATTCTAGGGTGGCAGCTGTGCTCTGGATATAGAGGGCCCCCAGTCTAGACTGGAGCCGATAGATAAGCAGGATCTCCAGAAAGATGATACTGTTAGAACAGCCAATAGGGCCGGGCGCGGTGGTTCATGCCTATAATTCTAGCATTCTAGGAGGCCGAGGTGGGTAGATAGCTTGAAGTCAGGAGTTCGAAACCAGCCTGAGCAAGAGCGAGACCCTGTCTCTACTATAAATAGAAAGAAATTAATTGGCCAGCTAATATATATATATAAAATTAGCTGGGCATGGTGGCGCATGCCTGTAGTCCCAGCTACTCGGGAGGCTGAGGCAGTAGGATCACTTGAGCCCAGGAGTTTGAGGTTGCTGTGAGCTAAGTTGATGCCACGGCACTCACACTAGCCTGGGCAACAAAGTAAGACTCTGTCTCAAAAAAAACACCAAAAAACAAAAACCAGCCAATAGGTGATGGGCACAGTGGCCTGTAATCCCAGTTACTTGGGAGGCTGAGACAGGAGGATCATTTGAGGCCAGTTCAAGACCAGCTTGGACAAAACAGCAAGATTCCATCTCTAAAAAATAAAAAAGGGCCGGGTACGGTAGCTCACACTTGTAATCCTAGCACTCTTGGAGGCCAAGGCAGGCGGATCCTTTGAGCTTAGGAGTTCGAGACCAGCCTGACCAAGAGCAAGACCCCATCTCTACTAAAAATAGAAAGAAATTACCTGGACAACTAAAAATATATATACAAAAAATTAGCCGGGCATGGTGGCACATGCCTGTAGTCCCAGCTACTCGGGAGGCTGAAGCAGAAGGATTGCTTGAGCCCAGGAGTTTGAGGTTGCTGTGAGCTAGGCTGATGCCACGGTACTCTAGCCAGGGCAAAAGAGTGAGACTCTGCCTCAAAAAAAAAAAAAAATAATAATAATAATAAAGAGAAAGAAAAAAAAAAAGAATAGCTAATCGGTCTGTCTTGAGATGATATTCAGATAATTCAGGAAGAGTTTGGGGTTAAATTAAAGATAAGAGCTTAGAAAACAAAGCAAAAAAGTCAAGATAATTACTAACTCCAAGGAAAGCAAACAATTATGCCAAAAGGAAAAGTAATCATGGCTTACTACCTGGCTCAGCTGTGAATAATAAGAGTCATAATATAAATACTGATCTCACCAAAATGACTATAAAACTATGTTGGAGACTGGGGGTGGGTGCAGTTATTGTATGCTGGTAAGCTAGTTTGGTAGGGGTGACGGGGTATGGAAACCCTGATCTACAGTGTTTGTTAATTTCTGTGGCATATACTTCCACCACGGCTAATTCCAAGCTACCAATGTAATGTCACTGAACAGGAGTTTGAAAAGAGATGTGCCAGAACAGTTCCTGCCAAATGCTGCAAGCTGGTTCCAGCACACCACTGAAAGGGGGTGGGGTGCGGGTGGGGTGACACAGTTAAATCCTCACCTTCTAGAATGAGAATTCAATAGATACTGTCTGATACTGAAATATCAAGAAGTAGCAATAAAAGCATGGTATTACAGATTTTGAGATAAACAAAAAAAGAATCAGTCAAAGGAGCTAAAGGTGATTGGGGAAAAGAGGAGGATAGGGAAGAGGGCTGCTTTTTGTAACCTGCAGAACTATTGGATTGTTTAAGTCATATATATATATATATATATATATATATATATATATATTTCTGATTTTTTAAAAAGTTAAATAAGAAATGGAAGTGGAGATGCCCAAGACAGTCCTTGGCAAACAGCCCATGATCCCTTGTTTCCTCGGTGATATACCCAGATAGTGGTATGCACTTAGCTTTGTGGGGGCCGTGGTTCCAACAACTGTTCTGTGTATAGGATGGTGTTGGCCACTTGTCGGATGTGGGCAGCTGTACCAGGAGTATGTGTGAGTAGACAGGACTGATGCAGTGTGAGCACTAACATTTACTGGGCATGTACTATGCCATGATAGGAGCTTTTACATGCACATTATGTGTGTGTGTGTGTGTGTGTGTGTGTGTGTGGACTTTGCTCAGTGCTGCAGAGTGGGAGGTATAAGTACTCACGCTGCCTGGCCGGGGGTTGGTCTCAGGGCCCCTGTAAGTAGTCCAGCGTGAAGTTTCTTTGTTCAACTCCTTGTACTTCCCCTTGAAGACACGCTCAATGTCAGTGAGAGAGAAGGCACAAACTGCAGAGCTTCTGGTCCCTCCGACCTGCCTGGAGAGAGCCAGAGGGACATTGTCTATAGTCTCCTCTGCCATACCAGGCAGCTCCACCTCAGTGAGAAACCCCCGGAGGTTAGGAGTTCTCCTCACTGTGGTGATAGGGCTAGGAAGCCCCATGGAGTTCCCTGACTCTGGCCCAGGGCCTGGCTCTAGGCCTATCATAGGATCTGAAGTGTGATTATCCTTAATGAGAATTAATTGGGGCTAAGCCCCTAGGGTGGCTCCTGCCTGTCCTGCGTAGGCCAGGCTGTACCTACAGGAGGGGCAGTGAAACCTGCTCCAGACTGGCTCTACATGAAGCCGTCCTCAAGTTCCTTGGATTCCTGGTCCTCAGAGAACTGACCAGAGCCTGACTACCAGACTATTTTCATTCCTTCAGCCCCTGTCTGTGGGGACAGAAGGGCTGCCTGTCTGTCTCTCTCTCTGTCTTTTTTTAAGAGACAGGTCTCCCTGTGTTGCCCAGGCTGGCTTTGAACTCTGTGGGTTCAAGTAATCCCTCTGCTTCAGCCTCCTGTGTAGCTGGGACTAAAGGCACGTGCCAACATGCCACTCTCACTCTCTTTGAGTCATGTTGGATACCTTCTACTCTCACTCTCTTTAACCTGCCTGTTGAACGCACCAGGTTCTCAGTTCTGGATCCCATTTACATCAGATACCTTTGGTACCGGACACCTTGTTAGCAGGTACCTAAACACTGTGGGGCTAGACCAGGCCTGTGGGACCTTGAACAAATGGTTAACCTTTCTCAACCTCCATGCGATGGCTTTATTTTTATCTTATGATACTGACGGTGTTTCCCTCTTTGCCCTGGCCATTAGGAAGTGCAGAGCTAAATCTCCTAGATGAGAGAGCCTGGTGTTCTGCTGGCATCCAGGGACTACACAAGATCCGTGACAAGCATCTGTAATGTGCAGACCCTATCCCTGGCTTTTCGCATCCTCCCTTTATTCCCATTTCCTTATCCCTTTTATTGACTTTAATGCCTGCCTTTTGTAAACCGCTTCCCACCCTTTTTGGAACCAGGCACAATATAAACTAGTCAGAACCTCCCTGAGCTTTACTTTTCCCAGCTACCCAAAGGGCATGGATCAAATTCCTGGGAGGGGATGCAGAGTAGGCGCTGGCTCAGGTCAGTTCCTGCCCCCCCTTCACGGGCCAGGGCCACACTGCACTGGGACCCCACGGCCAGCTCCGTGGTTCCCGCGCTGGTGCTCACCACTGGGAGGTGAAGACTGCGTAGACGTGGGGAACTGCGGACGAATCGGCGGGCAGCAGGACCGCGTGGCGGATGACGTTGAAGGGCAGCTGCCCCGGCTGCGTGCAGAGCAGCTGGGCCTTCAGGAAGGTGGTCCACTTCTTCTGCAGCAGCTTCTCGCCGCCCACGTCGTTCTGTGTGCACCGGCGGGGTCAGCCTCTCGCCCCCGTGTCCCCGCCCCCGTGTCCCCGCCCCCGCCCCGCCTGTCCCCTCCCAGGGCCCCCACCACCACTCAGCCCGCCTCCGTCGCAGGCTGCAGACCTTGCAAACTCGAGCCACCCGCGAAGTGTGGAGCTTCTCGAAGAAGTCAAATTCGCTGGCGGTCTCCGCGAAGAAGAAGTAGACGACCTGCGTCGAAGGGATGGCGGCCACGAAGGCGGCGTCCGCTGCGGGGGCGGGGCAGAGGGACTGAGCACCGGGATGCCCTGGGTCCCCTTGGTGAAAACCCTTGGGTGGGCTCTGGAGGCCAGGGGACAGGCTGCCTCGCATCCCATAGCTTATCGATGCTGGTGATGGGGGTGGGGGTGACTAGTACTTCTCCAATGTATTTATATAAGACGAAAGCTTCATGAGGACCAGAAGCTTCGTCTTCTTCCCCGCTATACCCCCAGCGCCTAACAGTAATGCCCGCAGTGTGCCCTCAACAAACGAGAGCTGAGTGCATTAACAGCAATTCCCAGCGCCAAGTCTCCGGCGCTCAGGAAACGGGGCCGACCTGCGCTGGCTGGGGGTCAGGTCCTTACGATGCAGCCAGCGGAGGAAGGTGTCGGTCTTGAGGACAGGCTGGGATCCCAGCGTGCGCATCAGGATGGGCTCGCTGCCCAGGAAGTTGTTCATGGTGCCAGAATAGAGCATCCCATCTAGGGTCGGGGAGAGGGGAGGAGAGGACAGCTTATCAGGTGGAGGCCTCTCCTGCCTTCCTCAGACCAGCATGAATATCAGTCTTTAAGCCCCCCATTAGTTCTGCGCTTTCCTGAGGAGCCCCAAAGCCCGGCCCCAACACCACCACCACCACCACTGAGGCCCCTTCTCAGGTTCCTCTCTCCACAGGAAACGGCCAGCCCATGTGGCACTTTTCCAGCCTTTCTCTGGCTACTCCCTCCCACGACCAGCTGAATCACTTGCCAAATAGACTCACTCATTGATCTCAGGAGGTGACTGTGTTTTCTGCTTCTGCACCTTGGACCCTGCCCTTCTCTTCCTGGAACACCATTCCTGCCCATCTACCTACCTATCTATCAAGGTCCTGCTCAAAAGCCCAAGGCCACCCCCTCTAGGAAGCCAGGGTGGGAAGTCTGCAATGGTTGGTGTGAAGGAGTGCCCGGGGCCGTGATTTCTTCTTTGTGACACCTATGGTAGCCAGCACGATGCCTGGTACACCAGAGGAGGTGTTCGCACAGTGCACATTTGTTAAACAAATGACTGAATCTCAGGCCTCTTCTCTACCTGATACTTTCCTGGACCCTCATGCCTCTGTGTCTCTCCACATCCGCCTCTCAGCACCTCCTCTGTGGCAGTTCCAGCCGGAGCTGGTGGCCTAACTCTCCCTCTGATCTTGTGCTCTGAGGCTCCTGGCTTCCCTCTCTCTCTGTCCCCCACCTTTTAGGAAACTCTGTAACAGTCCATATTACACAGAGTGACTAGAGAAAGCAGATATTGGGATGGACCAAGAAACCTGATACTCACCCACCAAGACAGCTGTGTGCTTGTGGGCAGGGTCAAAGGGGCTTTGGCCTTTCCCCTCCATGACCTTGTCCTCTGAGATGGGCAACAAGTAGGAATCTTGGAGTTCCTAGAGGGGGGAAGAGGCTGGGGGGCCAGAACGCCAGGGTCTCACATCTGGGAAATGAGGGGCACGAGGGAGGAAGGGAGAGGGGCATAGAGGGAAATTGGTCTGGGGCCAGGAAGCTCATGAGGGTCCTGAGTCTGGAAGACCAGAGTTTTCCAGAGCTACAGAGGAAAGTCTGGGGGTAGACGTGAGAAGGGATCCTTAGGAGCTTGAAAGCTAGGCACCAGGTAACTCACAATGAAGGTACAAGCAGGACTGAAGGCGAAGGTGCCGCAGGCGTAGAGATGGGTGGCATTGAAAGGGACCAGGACACGAATGAAGTTGAAACACTGTGTCTGGGGGAGACAGAGAATTCAGGCCTCCGGGCCACTTGCCTCAAACTCCTGGGCCCCCAGAGGCTGCCCCCTCACTTCCTAGTGGGGAGAAGAGCTGGGCAATGCTGAGGCAGTCCCCAGACATCTTCATGGAACATAATCCAAGTGATAATCATAACAAGTGCCCTCCACTTCCTGCCCAACCTGAGGTTACCCAGTGACGATCTACGGAAGCCAGGGCTCTCCACCCAGAGCCCCCAAGCCCCCACCTCCACTTACCTCGTTGCTCTTCTTCTTAAAGGCACATTCATTCTTTTTTTGGTCACTGGCTGGCCAGGGTATCTGAAAGTGGACAGTTGGGGGAGGGGAGGGAGATGAAAAGAAATGAGGTAGGTCTTCAGGCTGGGGCGCAGTGGCTCACGCCTGTAATCCTAGCACTCTGGGAGGCCAAGGGGGGAGGATCGTTTGAGCTCAGGAGTTCGAGACCAGCCTGAGCAAGAGTGAGACACCATCTCTACTAAAAATAGAAAGAAGTTAGCTGGACAACTAAAAATACATAGAAAAAATTAGCTGGGCATGGTGGTACATGCCTGTAGTCCCAGCTACTTGGGAGGCTGAGGCAGGAGGATCGCTTGAGCCCAGGAGTTTGAGGTTGCTGTGAGCTAGGCTGACACCACGGCACTCTAGCCCAGGCAACACAGTGAGACTCTGTCTCAAAAAAAAAAAAAAGTTAAAAAAAAAAAAAAGAAAGAAAGAAAAGAAATGAGGTCTTCAGGTCTGTGACCTGCAATCCCCTCCTCAACTCTGGCATGAAATGACCAGCAGGCATGGGGGTTAGTGACATGGTGATGGGTGGTAATAACACCAGTTTGTGACTATGGCTATCCCACTGATGATACTGATATTGATCAGACACAGCTCCATGGTAGAACATGGTGTACAGAATCAGACAGACCTGTTTTTGAATATAGGCTCGGCCACTCACTGACTGAGCGATTGTGATCAATTTCATAGGTTGCTAGTGGGGACAATTTGGTGGCATATGTAAAGCGCCTAATGCAATGCATGGCGTACATAGGAGCAGTTGTCAAACCACACATTTCCTGAGGAGATTGTTAAAAATGTCGGTTCCTGGGTCACACCTTAGAGAATCTGCATTTTTAACTAGCACCCTGTATGTGCAGGTGGCCAACAGATGACACACTGAGGAACACAAACCACAGAGGTGATCAGTATTGCTAGCTCCCTCTCCCCCTTCCTTCCTTCCCGCTCCCTCTCTCCCTCATATTGTTCACATTAGTAGGGTGACTGTAACACAGAAGCCACAGTGATTTCTACCTACTGGGTGGATATCAAATTATTGATATAATTTGGTCCAGGTTGATCTCTTATGTCAATGATTTCCATGTCAGCCATTTTAGCAATTAATATTATTCAACCAGTATTCGTGACCCTAGCGAAGAGTGAGGCCACTATATTATTTTGTGTCTGTTATATTGTCAAGATATATATGACAAGAATTGCTGATTGTCGCTGATTATAGATAATAGCAATTGGCCCGTTATTCATGCTTAGGCGGCCCAGGTGCAGGGTGGCTCCTGGCCCCCTTCTCACTCCCAGCCCACACACCCTTTGTCCCTGGCCTCCTCACCATGTTCTTCAGCCTTGGGACCCCTGGATCCTGGATGTTCAAGGCCAGAATGGCCTCTCGAGCCCCCACATAGAGAGTGTTTCCATCACCACTCAGGAGCAGAGTGTCAAAATCCTGGAGGCCCTTCTGGTGGAAGAAGCTAAGCGCCCTGCATCCATCCCCTGTGGGAGGCGTGAGAGAGAGCGGTGAGGAGTTGGTGGGTGGGCAGCTGATTCCTGGGATAAAAGTGGGGGAAGGGAAGGGTTGGCAGAGTGTGCTCCCCATGCCCTGGCAGCTGGACCTGCCCTTTCCCACCAGCAACTTTCCTGTTCGCCCCACTCTGCTGGCAGCTGCGGAGCTTTGTGTGTTGCGCCCAGAGCAGACAGGAGAGGCAGCCAGAGACAGGGTGAGGACAGCCTGGGGCTGGGGGAGAGTAGCCTGCACCCATGACAAAAGGGATAGGAAATAAAGCGAGAGACAATGGATGCTGTTCCAGGCCCAGGGGTGCTGCGGTGGGAAGGACACCTTGGTCCCCACTGAGACGGGGAACAGCAGGCAGACCAATCAACAGGAAGGTGTTGGCAGCCACAAGCAGGAAAGCTAGATGCAGACAAGACTGTGTGTCAGAGGGTCTCTCTTGCCACCCCCACTTCCTTCCCCTCCTGTTATATGAAATTTCCACCACCAGAATCACCACAAACAGAAAGGAAGCATTTTTCTTCAAAGGTCTATGTAGGCATGCTTTGTGGCCAGGGAAGATGAGCCTGTTGTTGGAGGCTCACCCAGGTCCTCTCCATTACCTGGTGCAGTGGTGTGCATGTGCATTTATATGTGCGTGTGTGTGTGTGTGTGTGTGTGTGTGTGTGTTTTCCTGTCCCACTGGCACATCAGCAAGGGGGAAGGAAAGGAGCTCCTGAAATCCTCTCTCATTAGCATCTGTGCACTTTTGCATCAGTTAGAGGACTGACTGGCTAATTGTTATCTTTGTAGGCTCAGAGAGTCTTAAATAGGACCGAGAGGAGGAGCTGGGGAATAAAGATAAAGTGTGGCAAAGTGCTGGAAGGGCTGGCCTGGCAGGGGTGTCTCCTGGAGGCCAGGCCTCTCCCAGAGATGTATAAACCCCTCAGTTACTGACTCGATCACCCTGTAGTGTGACTGACTGCTCATCTGCTTCTGCCTGAGACTGTGAACACTTTGAGGGCAGGGGCTAAGTCTGGTCCATGTCTGTATCCCCATCAATGGGCAACATACATTTCCTTTACCACGTTACCCCAGAAAGATGCTAAAGACACAGCCATGCCCACAAGACCCTGCCACTACAACACCTACAGGCTCTGTATCCTTCCCCGAACCTTCTTCCTGGAGGTGAGAGGGCCAGCAGCCCCCACAGCCTCAGTAAGAAACCAGCCAAGCTGTGCTTGTGTGGGGTCCCAGGGCCCACAGCCCAGCCAAGCCATGCCACAGCAGTGGATTCTCATGGTCCAGCATGATCTGTGTGGTTGGCGTGGGTCTGGCATGCCCTGGGCCACTAGGTCCACAAATGGTCTTCTAGCATGGGCCTTGACTTTGAGGCACTTGGGAATATGACAGCAGTTGAGGTTTGAGGTACCTAGCTTTATGACAGAGACACTGAAGAAGAGAAAGAGAAATCACCAGCTTTGGAGAACTAGAAGGAGCGGTGCCCTGGAAAAGCCCCCTCTCTTCCCTTTTCTCAATCTGTGTCTTAAGTGGATTTCCTCTCAGTTTGAATTTCTATTTCTGGCTGTCTCTTTCGCTTTCTCTGAGGCCCTCTGTTTCTCCCTGGCATCTCTCTGTGTGTCTCTGTTTCTCCATGTCCATTCCCCCCACCCCCATTCCCTCTCTATCCTTCCTCCACCCCCCTCCAGCTCTGCGCTGCCATCCCCACACTTCCTGGCCATCAGACGCTTACCTGCATAGTATTTGACCCTGGGCACGGGCTCCTGCCCACCTCCCTCTGCGGTCGTTGTTGGCAGCAGCAGCTGGAGAAGTTGGAAGAGGAAAAGGCCCAGGAGGCTCCAGGGGTCCAGGCCCAGGGCTGGGAGGGCCATGCTCAGCCAATGGCTGTCACCAGACGGCTCTGGGGAAACAGGCACCCGGGTACTTTCTGAGTGAGTAGTCCTTACCACATCCCCGTGGGGACCAATCAGTGAGCCCTGGGCAGCAGAAGTGTGGGGGCAGAGGGGGGAGCACGAGGCGGGGTGGTTCCCTATCTGGAAGGGCCCTCGCAGAGTCTCACTTCCATCACCCTCACAGGCCTCAGCCTGATGCCTCACTTTCCCCTCTGGGCAGAAGCCAGGTATTCTCTACCCTGCCTCTTCTGCTCTCTGCTCTGCCTGTTTTCGCCTTACTCCCAGGGAAGTCCTTCGTGCCTTCCCTCCTTTGCCTTCCCTATTCCCATAGCTCATAGCCAAAACTGTTGCCCGGCCCAGGGCAGGAGACCTTCTAGGGAGTGGGTTTCTATACTCAAAGCATAAATTCCTCAGACCATGCTAGGCGCGGTGGCTCATGCCTGTAATCCGAGCACACTGGGAGGCTGAGGCAGGTGGATCACTCGAGGTCAGGAGTTTGAAACCAGCCTGAGCAAGAGCGAGACCCCGTCTCTACTAAAAATAGAAAGAAATTAATTGGACAACTAAAAATATATAGAAAAAATTAGCCGGGCATGGTGGCGCATGCCTGTAGCCCCAGCTACTTGGTAGGCTGAGGCAGGAGAGTTGCTTGAGCCCAAGAGTTTGAGGTTGCTGTGAACTAGGCTGACACCAAGGCACTCTAGCCCAGGTAACAGAGTGCAATTCTGTCTTTAAAAAAAGAAAAAAAAAACTTCCTCAGACCTTACTCTCCTGCCACTTTCAGATCTCTTGATACCTTGTGCCTCATACTCATCCCAGATCTAGGCCAGCAGACCAAGTCTAAGTCAGCCTCCTCTAACCTCTCCCCCAGCCCCAACTCAGCTCAGGGTCTTTGACGCTCAGGCCTACCTGGCCCTCTTCTTCCATCTCGCCAGGTTGTCTGTCAGCATTTCTTGGGGGGTGGCCTGGGCCGCGGTGGCTGGCTGGCTCCCAGCCTCTGCAGCTGCCCCTGTCTCCTTGTCTTTGCTCCTGCTATCTGCTTCCTTGGGCCTCTGCATAATTTTCCCCCAAGTCCACCAACCCCAAGCCACCCACCTCACCTCACATACCCTTGAACCAGCCACAGTGGGAAATCCGGGTGTTCAGTCTCTGGGGCAGGGGTGCCATCCAAGGGAAAGAAGGAGGCGGTTCCCAGCCCCCAGAGGCAGGGGGCAGAAGGCTCAACCTGGCTGGAACGGGAGCACGGCCCTCCAGGTGCCCATCGTGCCAAAGCCAGCACTGGGAGCTCTGGGCTAGGGAAACCAGAATTTCCACCTCTCGAGTTGTGACAGATCCTGGCTCGGGCGGAAGTTGGTGAATTGGGAGGGAATAAAAAGAGGCTCAGCCGCCTCTCAGGAGACACACCTCTCTTTCTGCCTCCTTTTGCCTCAGTCCGTCCAGAAGGTTTAAAATGCCCTTCTGGGTTGTTTCAGCGAGTCCCTTACCTCTCCATGTCACATCCAGTCTAACTAGCCTGGCAGTGGTTTCCCCTCTTGCTCAAGATTCCCCAGATACGAGACATGACAACATCTTTCACATTCCTCTTTTCACCTACCCACAAGGTGGGGTCTTTCCACTTTTACCTACTGGGAATTCCCTGCAGTGCTCTACCCTTCAAACTCCCTCTCAGCTGGGCCGTAATCTTTAAAAAACTAAACAATTGTATTAGCCTCTTAGCCTTGATTTTGCTGAGGAAGTCTCTCCTGTATTCTAATCTCCATCACTCTTAGGGTGGCATCAGGCCAGTAGGAAGTCCTGAAAACTTCCCATCTGAGCTCATGCTAAATGGAACACACTTCTGAGGCACCCAAGCTCCAGTGGTGGCTGTTCACTCGCCCCCAAAGGCTCTGGGGGAACCTCATAATGCAGGGTTAACGAGGCATCTGGCGCCAAGAACTCCATGACCTATAAAGTTGGTAGGTTCCTGCCCACTCAGCCAGTTCAGCTGACTGCAGGTTAAAGAGCACAGACAACCCAGGGCTAATCCAACTCTCATAAATAATCCACCTCCATCTCAAACACGCATTCCTCACTTCCAGGAAGTCCTTCCTGTAGTATAACCTCCATCCGTCCTACTACAGTACCAGCCAACACTGGTGATGTTACAGCCCAGGCTACTCCTTAGAATTCCTTGTCTGAGCCCACTCAGCCTCCTTTCATCTCTCTCAATTTCCCCAGGGGTTGGTCTCAGACATGCTCCTCCTGACAACTGTTTCTGTCAAGACTTGCATAAGACTTCCCCAGACTCTCCTGAAGGCCGGTTGCCAGGTCCCTTTCAGGTTCTTAGAATCAAGGGAAACTTCCATTTACCCAGCCCCTCTGTTCTGTGTCTCCCCAACCCCCAGCTCAGGTTTGGGAAGCCACTCTGCCCTGGGCCTCTCTGCTTAAACAGATTGGCTTATCTGGGTCACCGGGAGGAGTTCTGATGGGGGGAAGAGGGGGAAGTTCCAGCCCCACCCTCCCAGCCCAACAACCTATTCCCGCCTCTCTGGAAGTGGCAGACTCAATGCCCTGCCCCCAGTTATTTCTCCAGCTCCCCAGACATCCTCTTCCCCAGCCCTGACATCCAATATGAATGGTTTACACTATCAGGTTTTGGTCCTCCCAGCAATTTTAGCAGATAGGTACCACCATAATCCCATTTACAGATAAGGAAGGCAGGTTACACAGCTAGAAGCCAAGCTAAATTCAGATCTACCTTATTCCAAAGCAGATCGCTCAGCTACACAGTCTCTGCAGAGTCCTGCTCCCTCAGTCCCGCCTCCTGGCCAGTCTGGGAAACTCAGTTCTGAGCCACTTGGATGGAGAAGGGGAGTGTGAGGGGTGGGAGGGTAGCAAGCTGTCTCCTCTGGGCTAAGAAACAGTATCTCTGGGGCGATTCCTGACTCAGAGGAAACAGCAACCTCACTGAAGAAAGGCCATGCATGGCCATCGGGTACCACCCCCTGCCTCCACAGGGCCTCCTGGCCAAGAAGAGCCCAATGGGGAGGAAGGGCACCCTGCCCCTCCGCAGTGTCCCAGAGCTCCAGAGTCAGGTCCACAGCCTCAGTGCCATCTCAGCAGAACCCACAGCCAGGGCTGGTTTCACAGGTGGGTGACCTGTGCAGTCACACCGCGCCTGTGCTCAGGAGGGCCCACGCTTGCTGTGATGCTCTGCTGTTGCCCTCTGGAAAGTCTTAATCATTTTTAAACAAGGGACCCCACATTTTCATTTTGCACTGGGCCCCACAAGTTACGTAGCAGGTCTTGCTGACAGCATCAAGGAAGGTCTGAGCTGACAGGGTCCCACCCCCTCCCTCGCTGTACAAATGAGGAAACCAAGGCCAAGGAGGGGAAGTCCCTTGGCTGGGGCTGGAGTCAGGCAGCAGGTCTGGTGGGGTGGTGGAGGGAAGGAGTCAGATGTTCAGGGACCAGATATATAGGGGTCATCGTGCCACCTTCATCGCACTTATCTGGGGTTCCCCCACCCCATTTCTCCACAAGCCCTGGAGCTCAGCCTGGGGAACACCCATGAGAATAAGACTGAGTTCAACCTCTCCCTGCCAAAGTCCAGCTCTTCCCAAGCGAGACTCCTCCCCCACAGCCCTTAGGCCACATCGAACAGTAGCCCCTTCCTGCCAGGCTTCATCCCCCAGAGCAGAAGTCTAGATGTGGGGGTGGAGGTGGGATGGGAGATGGAGGCTGCTTCTCATCCTTACTCCACACCACCTCTGAGCCTCACCGCCCCAGGAGCTCAGTCTCCTCGAAGCCCTGCGGAGCTTGGGTGTCTCACTGAAGGAGGGGCTCCTGGAGCCGGGAGAGAAGCCACTCCTGGCTTTACCACCAGCGACCTGGCAAATCCAGTGTCCCCCACCTCCTTCTCCCATCTAGCCTCAGGGACAGCCGCCAGAGGAGCAGAGTCCCAGGGAGCATGTGTTTCCTGGCTCCCTTTCCTGAGCCCTACCTGTCCTCCCCTCATCTGCTCTCTTTGTATGAACACAAGCAAGTCAAGTCAACTTATATGTATTGAGTGCCTACCGTGTGCAGGCGCTAGGGATGTCCCTAAGCCTCCACACCCCCAGCACTCCCCACCCCTTCCCACTCCCACTGTCTCCCAGCCTTCTTGCCACCCTTCCAGCCCAATCCCTCCTAACCTCTCACCCAATGCCTCCTAGGTCCCCTCCTCCAGTCTGACTAGCGCTGGAAGGCTGTGCTGAGTAGCGAACACAATGGCCCGACCCCTCTGTCTGCCCCCTCCTCAGGGCAGAGCCAGCGCCAGACAATGCCCGCCCCCTCCTTTCAGAACTGTCTGTCAGCTCTCCCGCTCCCTTACCTGGAGCCTGGGGATGCCGCCGCGTTTCCCTCCCGCTGGAATGCCAGGCGTACTGGTCTCCCAGTGCCTCCGTCCCTGCCACACCCCCACCCCCATTCCCAACCCCATCCCGCCTCACTGGTCCTCAGTCACCATGGCAACCGCATCTCTAAGTGGGAGGGACTAGAATCTCCCCATATTCTTCCTCCTCCTACTCGTGTCCCACTGCGCCCCACCTTTTATGGCTCCTGGATCCACATGTGTGGAGAGGAAGGGCTCTAGATGTGGGGGGAGGTGGGGACGGGGGGCACACTGGCCCCCACGGCCCCGCTCGGCTCCCTTGCCCGCCTTCAGGCAGGCACCACCGTGTAGATCTCGCCAGCTGGGTTCAGGAGGTCAGCTGAGGCCAATTCCCTTGTACGGCCAGTTTCTCTGTGTTTCCCTCTTCTCAGTGAACTGCGTCTGTCTAGGGGAGACACACCTGGGTGCTGGCCTGACACTGTGCAAATTGAGCCAGTGAGAATGAAAATGAACACATAAATAACTATGCAAATAAACCAAGGGACAAAGTCTCTGTCAGGAAGCCCGAGAAGTCCTCTTCTATTAATATGATTCTGACTTCCCAGGGAAGGCATCCACTGCCAGGTTCAGGTTCTGCTTTTTCTTCCTAGGCCACCTGGAAACAAAGGTGGCGCCTCCAGAAGTTTTCTTTGGCTAACACCCACTGAGACCTATTAGGAGGGAAAGGTTTATACTGCAAGAAGAGGGGTGAAGGGCAGACTTCAGAGAGGACCTTCCAAAGATCTAGACTAGATTGGGATAGAAAAAGAGACAAGACTGAGCTAGATTTGTTTCCCTCTGAGAAGGAGCAGAGGGGCAGGCAGGGGTTTGGGTGAAGACTTTGGGACCTGGGCCTTGTGTCCTCTTCCAGCCCTGATGCTAAGCAACCCTATTACTGGAGCTCCCTTCTGTCTCTGCTGGGCCTCAACTTCTGCATTGGTAAACTGAGTTTTTGAAAAAACCCCTTCCGAGGCTGGCGTCCTCAGCTTGCAGGGGGACTAAAAAAAAACACCCGGAGGCTGGGAGCGACAGCCCTGGGCCCCAGGCCTGGTTGCCTGTGACTTACTCTGTGATCCTGGGCAGGGCACTTGCCCTCTGTAACTCACCTAGGTAATATCATGGCTTTGCAGCCTATCTGGGAGTAGCTTGGCTCCTCTCCAGACATAACAGCATTTTTTAGAAGAAGGAAATGAGTATGCTGGTGCCGGCCTGGTGCAGAGGGTTTCAGAGGCCAACTCTGGTTCCCTTTTAGGTTGGAGTAGTGGTTGAGCATTTCCTTTTAGGGTGGGGCGAGGAGGGCACGACATGGGCTGAAAGCAGAAGTGGACCCTGAACAGAGCTGCTATCACATCCCCCCACTGCTTCCTGGCACTCCATCCTTGCTGCCCCTCAGCACCTGGGCCTTGGGGGCTCAGAGAATGCCTGTTTGTCCAGGCTTCTCTCCACCTCAGGACCGGGACACATGGTAGGAGGGGAAGAGATTATTTGGGATTAAGATGGGGGACTAGAGGGACTAGAGGTAACTGAACTTGTACTGTAACAGGAAGGAAGAAGATTGAACTATAGAAAGACTTCATGCCCCCATTGGATGTACTTGGGTCCCAGCCCCCATTTTCTCCCCTTTGAGAGGAATTGGGCCCAGTCTCTGTGGCAGAATTGGAAAAGGTCACATTTCTGAAATAACCCCGGGAAATGGGGAAGCCTGATCTCACGTGCCTGTTCTTCATTCCAGGTTACCCAGCCGGACTTCTGGGGGTCTCTCCTGGCCGTGGCATATGAAAGTCAAAACTTCCAGAAAGGAGCTAAGGTGTCCTGATGAGAGAACAGGGACTTAGTCCCTGGTGGTGGCCACAGAAACGGCTAGAAACTTGCTGGAGTGAGCTGGACACCCAGAGCTCCTGTTCCAGTTCTCTGGGGTAGACAGGAGGGAGAGAGCCTTTCCCCAGGCTAATCTCCATTTCTCCTGCTGCAGTATTCACGATTGGATTTCCTCTGGCTTGCTTAACCTCAATTTCCCCACCTGTGGGACGACAGGGGGTCGGGGCCCTGTGTCTTTGATTGTGGGAGGGGCAGGGAGTAGCTGATAGAGTTTAGCAAAAGAGGGTCCCAGGGAAAACGAGATGAAGGAGTAGAAGGTGAGGAGACCCAGACATCCTGCTCCTTAGGATTTGCCCCCCAAGATCAACTGAGCTGCCCTTCCCCCAGCTTGAGGCTGGAGGACCCTCCCTACATTGTCCATTAAAGTTGGCACACAGACACTTCATGTCCTTAGTCCCAGGACACTGGCACCCTGCCCCTCCATCCCACCCCAGACACCACGGTCCCCCTTCCCCTCCACTTTCAAGCCTTACCCCCAGCCCAGCAGTGGAGACCCTAACCCAGGCGTCCAAGACTTCCAGCAGAGTCTGCACCCGGACAGGGAGCGGAGCTGGGGCAGGCATGGCAGGGAGGGGGATGGGGGTGCTGCCAGCCCCCTCCACTGCCCCAGTTCCCAGGCAGTTCTTAAAGGGACCAAGAAGAATTAGCCAGGGGCAGCTTAAGGGGTGAGTGTAGAGGAAAGTAGGTGGTGGGGAGAGGAATAGATTTGCCAGGAGCAGGAGAGCCAGAATGGGGGCCTGACAGCTCCCCTATTCCCCTGGAAGCCCCGAGGCTCCTCTGCCTGGCCTTTCCCTCATCCCATGAGACCCCCCCATGTGGCCACCCAGCTTCTGACTATCACCTCCTCAGATCAAGCCCGTGTTTCCCCTGGGCCCCTGCCCACTTCCTCCCCTCCCCCATATTCGTGCCACCTCAGTCTCCGGTGAGAGCTGCCAGCTGGCACTGCCTGGTACTAGGCACAGAGAATCGGCCCAAGAAGTGTCAGGGCCTGAGGCCTGGCCCTGGAGGGGGAGGGGAGGCCAGAACCTCAGAGTTAATAGGGGGGCAGCAGGCGCCCTCCCTTCTAGTTGCCTCCCAAGGCTTGTTTCCTCTGCCCCTCTGGGGTAGGACAAGGGGGCTCTGGGAGGCTGAGAGACAGGATCCTGGCTCATCTCTTCCCTGTCCTTATTCCTAATGGGCTGTCAG